AGTGCAGCACGCCTGCTGCTTGTCTCTCTCACGAGTCACCTCTGCGAGTACCTTACGCCGTACACTGACACTGCTCGCTCGTACTTATCTAAGTGCCTCATCACTTACGACCAACAGTACCGAATATGCACGCCGACAAACCTACCCTACGTACCCGCCCGGGACCTTTCCCAGGAGCCGTGCACTCTCATCTCCCGTTTTCTGTCCATCACCACCCTCTTGAGCTGCCCTTACCCTCCCATTCATTTCACCTCCACCCTCAGCATCATCAGAACAGATCGGGCATCCCATCCTGTTCATTACTCATCCTGACGATGCAGATACAGCCTCCCATCACCCTTCATTCTCGGCCGCTCTGCCATCCTCCGCCTCCCTCTCCCGGAAACCCGTCGCGCGTCCACCGACTCTCACCTTGACACCTCGGTACCCTCGTACCGCCCCAAACGGCCTGCATATGCGAGAGATGGCTGCATCCCTCCTCCGCCGCCCACACGCACATCCAACATACCTTACCTTGCGTTACCGGTACGTATCTGCTGTACCGCGCTGGGCACGCACACAATCTTTACTTCGTCCAAGCCAAGGACTGGGGGAACGGCAGGCACCCCCGCCACACAGAGAGAGACAGACGCACGACGACGGCCACGCCCTCTCACGCCCCTCCACCCCGTCGATGCTGCTGTTCATCACTCGCAATTTATTTCTTCACACCTCGGACCCCTGACGAGACGCCCCCTCCTCGTTTTCATTCCTCACCTCAGGCCTCACCTCCAGTCCCAACCGTGAAGGCCAAGACTCCAGCTTTTCGCTGCGTGTGTCTCCCCTCCCACCCATGATCCCCTCCCCCCAGCCGGGTGGTTGGCGGCGGAGGCGGCGACAGCGGCGGCCACCGAGGCAATCACGACTTGGCTGCTGGCGGGAAATAAAAAGACAGAGTATTAACGCCCACATCTGCACCCGCGTCATGTATGTCGCCTGTATCTGCATCCTCCACACACGGGCAGATGGTGCACATCGATACGCCGCCGGTAAAAGGAAACCAATCCGGCTGTCAGCAGCCATCCGAGGGTCAACAGCCGCCGCACTGCACCTCCTGACGATAGCGTCGTGTCGGAGGACCCTATAAACCGGGCCTGAAACCTCGATGCCCGCGATTTTCGCAGATTTCGGGCCAGCCGAGCTTATTCGAGTGAAGAAAGGCAAGGTTCGTTCGTTGCAACAGAGGGCCGAAATAACAGTCCCTTCCAGACATCAAGCAGTACCTGCTGCAAGGAAGCGAAGCCGATGAACCACCTCCAAGCCCATCCCATCCCGATCATCAGGTGCTGAAACCGAAGATCATAACCGGGGGAGGGGGCCGACGAGGAAAGACAACACCACCCCAGAGACAGAGACGGTGACGGAGGGCGGCCAGGCGCTTGTCTCCAAACCTACGGCATACACTGTATGTACCTACTGCGTAATGATGGTGGTGGGAAGGGGAAGCTCGGAGAGTTGGGGAGGGCGGTGGGAGGGTAATCAACCTCCCAATGCAATAACGGAGCTAACTGACTAGCGGGCAGTTGCGGCACGGATGAAGTCACATCGGCGTTCTGGATGGATGGATGCAGTGGTGCAGCGATGACATGAACCAAACTCAAAGTTCGTCCTTTCTTAGAGGTCGGGTCGTTGGTTTTGGTTCTGGCATGTCTTCGACGGTGCGATCCACCACCACCTGGCACACCCTTTCACCCCCGATCAGGATCTCGGGCTCGGGGGGGACCAGCCTGGTTGGTGCTGGTGCATGCACCAAATCTGCCCGCCCTGGACACTGCCCAGCCCAGCCCAGCCCGCCAACCCAGAGTCGACTCCCAGGTTCGTTAGTGAGGAGAGCCCAGCCAGCCAGGCGCGGGCAACGGGCAGATAGCCGTCGACACGCTGGCCTAGCACTCGTTGGTTGGAGGCTCATGTCGGGTGAGACTTGGGACTGCGAGGGTGACGCCGGCTCGACTCAATCTCAGGGACATTTCCCGGGGGAAAGGACCCAGAGCAGCAGCCTGTCCCCTCGGTGAATATTAACCTCCCCAACCTGGACGCTGAGGTGACAACCCAACAGCACCCAGCGACACGTGGGGTTTGCCGAAATGCAGTTTAGCGGCGGCGGCGGCAGTACCTAGCAGCAGCTCAAGCGCAGCGCTGTTGATTTCTTGGGCTGAGGTGACTGATTATTTTTAATTCGGCCTCTGATCCCTTGGGCTATTGACGGCTGTTTCGATCCATTCCTGACGAACCTGTCAATCTTTTAGTTGATCTTCTTTTTGTTTATTTTCGGGAACCCGGAGGACGAGCGTCGACAGCACGTTCGGATTTGGTCACAGAGGGTATCTGATCGGAGCATTCTTCTTTGGCAATTTGCACAATCCAGATCTGACAGATCGATGCAATTCGGAAAGATTTTCAGTCACCTGACATGGCCGTATCACGAAAGAGGCGGTTACTTTGCATCGGCCGCTGACGCTGGGAAAAAAGGGCACTCTCTGCCCATTTCGCCGCATTGGCCGCGATGATGCTACCGCTGTTCCATTGTCTGTATCCGTCCCGTGCCGTGGGTGCCGTTCTTCAGTCATCTCAGGCACACAAGATCTGCCTAAGGCATGTCTCTGTTCGAATCGTGACCCATACCCTCGGTGAGTTTCCGCCGCGGAAACCAAGAGACTGGCATGGGCGACGCGATGCGATGCGATGCGACACGGCTGTTCTTTTTGTTTCAAACCGGCTGAGGATGGATGGAAATGCCCGCGTCTGGGTGCTGGCCAAGGAAGCATTCCCTCGTAGATCATTCATCATGTGCTTTGTCTGGGCGTGCTGGCAACGTCGTCCCCTATTTTATCGCGCCGGGCCCGTCAGCTATCACAACGTGCGCCACCGCTTAATCGATATGAACATGCACACGTTGCAACTGGACGTCAGCGAGTTGAAGGGGGCCGCCGCCCAGAACAAGGCAAATCGCGGATCGCGAAGCCAAGACTGAGGCTGCATCACGTTGCGCGACATCCTGCGGCGCTGCTTCGACTAAAATGGTTGACGGCACTCTGATTTCCAACACCTCCTCGGACATTGTCGGATTAATCACCAGATTCGCGATGCACGACTCGCAAGTGCGGGTGATGAGCGAGATTCTCTCTGGAGACTTGCTGGGGGAACCAGCAACCTGCGACAAGGGGAAAAGAAGCTTCGGGGGCCCACTTTCAGCAGCAACACGAAATAAATAAATAAATGGAGAGGTCCCGCGGCGGCATAAGACAAGGTAGCAATCACGCATTTGGCGACTGACAGGGCGGGAGGAAGGTTCACAGCGGCGGTGCTGGTGACGGATAGTCTGCAGGAGGGAGGAGGCTGAGAGAAAATGGCGAGAGAGACAGACGCAGCAGACGCGCCCCCGACCACGACGGGACTCGACTCGCCAGCAATGCGATGCGATGCGCAACGCAGGCTCGGCAAAGCAATCAAAGAAGATGGAGACCCGTCTGCAGTGCGTGTTTCGCTAGCCTCCCAAAGGCTCATCCACAATCCCCATCTCCCTAACCGCAGGTTTCCGCAAGTGAGGTCGTGGTCTCCATCAGCCAAGGCACTCTGTGGTTGTAAATCCTTGCCCTTTCGCAACCCATTTCGGAGCAGCAGGAGGAGCCAGCCAAGCACACACATGGGCCATGGGTCCGTCGGTCCCCTCCCAGCGGGCGCCTTGGGCGGGATGGGTGAGGGGAGGCGAATTGCCTTCAGTGGGAGTGCCCGCCGCCCGCCTCCATGAATCTGCACCTGGGTGCCGTGCCTGGCCTGGGTCGGCGTGGGAGGGGGGTAAGGTAGTGTATCCGTAGGCGTATCTGCCCCCGGGCGGTGGGCGCGCGACTCTGAGGCGGCTGCGCGATGCGCTGCGCTGCGGTGCGCGTGGGTGAGATGATGGTCCCAGGTCCAACGGAGCGAGGGTGACGGCCGAGGGCGTGGCACTTCGGCTCCAGCCAAGATATCCGCAAGTGACGGGAGGTCAGGCCAGGTCAGGTCAAGCAAGCAAGCCAGCGCAGAAAAGGGTACGGACTGCGTATCCGTAGTGAGGGAAGGTAAAAAAGGCAAAGGTAAGGTAAGAGAGTGCGTGCTAAGCTCGAACTAGCTGTAAAAAGCCTGGAGGCTTTTAGATGAGATGGTTCAGGGTACGTACCGCTACCGCTGCCGCGACGGCGACCTTAGCTCCCCCCTCTCCTGGCCCCCCCTCCCCACATCTGGCACCCCCAGCTAAATAAAAAAGGGTGCCACACGCCCCGTCGTATCGTTTCGCTGGGAAAAGGGACCCGTGGCGTGCATTTAGTGGGAGAAAGGAACGGAAGGAACAAAGGGTACGTCCCCGGTACGTACTCCCTCCTTGCTGCCCGTTCACTCGTGGGTAAGGTGAGTTTGGCACAGAATGATGGAACCTACCTTAGGAACCTCTCGCAGCCTCCCAACTTCCCCTTCTCGTTTTCTTCCCCCATCCCCAACTTCCCGCAGAGCTGTATCGGGGCCGCTTCGATCGATCGCCTTCGGGTCTCGTATCCCTTCCTTTTCCCAACATCATCATTGCGATTCATCAAAGGGCCTTGCATCCCTTTCGTAAACCGCATCCCGTTTATTTTTGTTTGATTCAGCAGCTTCATCGTGTCGTTGCTTCTAACTTTCGCCCCCCAGCCCCCAGGTTGACGGGTCGCCATCCACAACCACCACAATCTGGTCGGACCATCGCGACAACCCCTTTCAACTTCCCGCCTTTTCGGTGACGCGAACCTCGGGTATTCGTAGCGGTTTCCATCTTTGGTTAAAAGTTAATTTCTTGGTTTCTCCGTAACCCTCAACTTCTGGTTCCTGCCACATCGTCGCCTTTGCGCGGTCAACAGGCAGGCAATCAATCCGTTGAGGCAGACCCGCAGCTGGCCGCGCAAGTCAACTTTCCTCCTCCCCTAGATAGAATGGCCAACCACCATCCCTCCCCGACGATGGCCATGCAGCCTCAGCAGCATGGCCCTCCTGGGCCTCCTCCGCCCCCGAGCCTGCAGCATGGCCAGAACTATGCGCCGTCGCGCCAGATTCTCCTCATGAACGAGGCCGTTTGGATGCAGATTGGTAGGTAACTCGCGACAATTGACGCGCATCACCCTCGCTGACAATTGACTACAGGTAGCTTCGCTGAGCTGCTCGGCAACCTCGACGAGGCCATGAAGGCCTACGATCGTGCGTTGCAGGCGAACCCGCAATCCGTAGCTGCTATGAACGCCATCAGCTTGATCCTGCGCACGCGCGAGGAGTTCAACAAGGCCGTCGACTACTTGCAGGCGATCCTTAAGATCGACAACACCAATGGTGAAGCCTGGGGCAGTCTAGGTATGTGACGCGCGCGACCAAACCTCATCCGATGGCGACGCTAACAATTCATAGGCCACTGCTACCTTATGATGGACGATCTGCAGCAAGCTTACGCTGCCTACCAGTCTGCTCTCGTCAACTTGAGGAGCCCTAGGGTATGTTGCGCTATATAAGTCTTGAAGTAACTCGTGCTAACTTTGATCCAGGAGCCCAAGTTGTGGTATGGCATTGGTATTCTCTACGACCGATATGGCTCTCTCGAGCACGCCGAGGAGGCCTTCTCCCAAGTCATGCAGATGCAGCCCGACTTCGAGAAGGCAAACGAAATCTACTTTCGTCTCGGTATAATATATAAACAGCAGCAGAAGTTTGGTCAGAGTTTGGAGTGCTTCAAGTACATTGTCAACTCCCCGCCGCCTCCCCTGACCGAGGAGGATATCTGGTTCCAGATTGGACACGTCCATGAACAGCAGAAAGACGTGAGTCCCTCGATTCCAGGCCGAAGAAAGCTTTTACTGACCTCCACAGTATGACAGCGCCAAGGCTGCTTACCAGCGGGTCCTCGAGCGCGATCCCAGTCACGCAAAGGTCCTGCAACAGCTCGGCTGGCTTCACCACCAGCAGAGCAGCAGCTTCCAGAGCCAAGAGCGCGCCATTGAGTTCTTGGAGAAGTCTGTTGCTGCTGACCAGGGCGACGCGCAAAGTTGGTACCTGCTCGGTCGGTGCTACATGTCCCAGCAAAAGTACCCCAAGGCGTACGAGGCGTACCAACAAGCCGTCTATCGTGATGGGCGCAACCCCACGTTCTGGTGCTCTATCGGTGTCCTTTACTACCAGATCAACCAGTACCGTGATGCGCTTGACGCCTATTCCCGCGCCATCCGCCTCAACCCCTTCATCTCTGAGGTGTGGTACGACTTGGGTACTCTGTACGAGTCCTGCAACAACCAAATTAGTGACGCTCTGGATGCGTACCAGCGCGCTGCAGAGCTGGACCCCCAGAACCCTCACATCAAGGCGCGACTCCAGCTGCTCAGGAACGGCGGCGCCAACGGTGGCCAGCCCCCATCCGCCCCTCAGCCGGCCGACGTTCACCCGCAGGCCTACCAAGTCGGTCCCCCGGCTCCTCAGTGGGGAAGCTCTGCTCCCAGCGGAGGCCAGCAGCAAGGACAGCAGCCGCCTCCGCCTCCCGGACCCAACGGTCCCGGCCCTAACGGTTGGGGCAGACTCGCGGATATCAACCCCCCTCCGCAGCCCCCTAACCCTTACGAGCAGCGCGGTGAGCCATTCCGCGGCCCCGCGCCTCCCATGCCGCGCCAGCCCAGCCCGAGGCAAGAGCAGCAGCAGCAACAGCACGGCGGTCGCCCGCCCTACCCCGAGTCGATTCGCCGGGGCCCGACCCCCCCTCCTCCCTCACACTACCAGTCGGGCCCGCCGCAGCAGTCTCAGCAGGCCCACCAAGCCCCTCCCACCTCGGCGCCTCGTATTCCCAACCCCAACTACTCTCAGCCGTCGTCTGCTCAGATGCCTCCCATGCAGACCGGCCCTCCGGGCCCGCCTTCTCAGTTCCGCGGCACCAACAGCCCCCGCCCCGGTGAGAGACCCATGCACGACAACCGCATGCCGTCCCCCAAGTCTGCGTACCCTCAACACCAGGCGCCCCCACCTCCGCCTTACGGACATCACCCTGACGGCCCCACACCGGGTCCCATGGAGGCGGCACACCCGCCTCCGCCTCCTCCGGGCGCGATCCCTGCGGACTCTGCCGCCCGCAGCGAGCATGATCGCCCGGCTTCCGTTGGACCCAAGCGCATGCGCGAGTGGGAAGAGGACTCTGCTCACAAGCGGCCTGCCAATGACGAGAACCGCGCCAGACTGGACGACGTTCGTCCTAGACGTCCGTCTACCCCTCCCGGCTCTCGCGACCCGTACCGTCGCAACTCATCGGAGGCTCGCCGCTTTGAGGACCAACGTCGCGCCGAGGACCAGCGCAGGGCTGATGACCAAAGGAGGGCGGATGACATCCGTAGGGGCGAGGAGCAGCGCAACGCCAACGACGGCTACCACCCGTCGGAGGCTGCGCACCACCAGCCGAGCCACCCCATGCCCTCTAACCACCTCCCGCCCATGCAGTCGGCCGCTGCGCCGATGCAGAACATTCTCCATGATGGTGGCGCCCAGAACGGCCCGTCCGGACCTCCCTCCGGACCCGCCCCGGGTGTCAAGGAGTACCCTGCTGAGGAGAGAGCGCCCATGGAGCACACTCCCGCGCCTCGCCCGCCTCAGCCCAGCGAGCCGGAACGCGCGGCTCGCAAGATGGACGTCGACGAGGACTATGATGACAGCGGTGAGGACGAGAAGAAGGCCGCCGTGGCCACGACCAACGGCTCGGGCCCCGCTCCGTCGTCAGGAGAGACCAAGACACCAACAAGCGCAAGCATCAACGGCATGATGGGGCCCACCCCCAAGGTTGAATCGACATAATGGATAAATAGCAGTATGACTTACTTGTTTTCTTTGTTTCTGCACATTGTGTTCTCTTTCCATGTATACCATTTCGTTCTCAAATACGCGCTGGCTCGAGAGGACCTTTCGTTGAGGAGCAAACTGGTGTGGCTGGGCAATTAGGTAGCTCATGAAAAGAATCTTAGTCCCCATCTAAACATGTTTCTGGAAACTGAATGTTGGTGAATGTGTATGTATGTACTGTTTGGCATTGCTCATGGAAATCACGGCGCTGCGCAATGCGGATACCGCGGCCATGGCTCCTGTTACTGTCCAAGAAGCTTGGTCTCCTTTTCCATTTCTGTACCTTACTGTATATTGTACCTCGACTGCTCAAGAAGCCCGCGTCAAGAGCAGCGGAGGTGTCAAAGAGGCCACGGGTACAGACGGAGGTGCAATGTGCTTTGACTGCTTCCCCCCCAACCCCATGCTGGGTGGACTGGAAATTTCATCAATATAAACGTCTCATAGCCAAGAAATAGTAGGGGCCCTGCAAGAGAAACCAATCCGGCTTTGGTTCGAACATGAGAAGTCCGGCACCTTGTTGACGCCTCCGCTTCCCTTGAAGTGGGCTTCTGAGGCGTCGGTAGCTTCGCAGTGTACTGAATTAGGGGTCTGGAATACGATGTATATAAGCGACAGAAGAAGGGGGCAGACGCCGTCGAAGCAATCTGTGGTACGCGCAAGTCAGACGTCGATATAGGCCAGCTTCGCGGACTCCGAGTCGATTACGCAAGTCAGATGTCGATGTGGGACATTCCCTACGAGAATTGCTACGAAGGACGGAAACTTTCGGTCTTTTACAGGTACGCCCATCAGTTAGCGCTGCGGATAGTTTTGCTGTCTTGGAGGATTGTTAAAGATGAGGCTACGCGCTAGAGGAGGGTTCTCGCAGCGATGGTTGTGAATGAATTGAAGTATTCTAGTCGTGGCCTTCTTGACCCCTGCGGTCCCCTCGAGGCGGGCTTCTTGGGCGTCAGCAGCTTTGCAGTGTTCGTTGTTAGGGATCCAAGATACGATGTATAAGCGACAGAAAAAGGGGGCAGACGACGTCAACGCAATGGGTGGATAAGTAAGTCACATGTCGATAGGGGCCAGCTTCACAGAAGTCGAGCCGAGGAGCCCCAGCGTCACCAACGGAACAGCTATCCTGTGATTCGCGAAGGACAGAAGATGTCGATCTATTGCTTCGTTAGCGTAGTAGGGGACGGTACCAACGGTGAGGTTGATATAGGCACAAACATCCGTAAAGTCGGCCTTGCGGATGGCTCTACTTTCTTGGCTGCGGATGGAAAGAATCATCCTTGTTTCCATGGTCCAGTGCGAGCTCAAGTTTGTACCGACGGTTGTGGATAAACCGAAGGGCTCTGGTGGCCTGATTCCTGGTGAATTCAAGTTGCGATTCGAAACAGACAAGAATTGGGATGCGATAAACGCCGGGCTCGGGAGACACTAGACGACGGCGATGGAAGACAGAGACTATGACATCGCCGTGGTCTTCTCGACGCCTCTGCCGCCCTTGAGGCGGGCTTCTCGGGCAGTAACAAAAACGATGGCCACGGCGTCATCATTGCTCAGCGCCGTGAGTTTCATAAGGAATCCCTTGAAATGCCAAATAGCACATATATGTTTACAACTAAGCTACCAGAGATAGAGGCTGACGAGACCCCTGGGCTGGGAGGATGGAACTTTACTAACGTCTGTTATCAATATTCGAAGTTATAAAGGCAAACAGGGGCTTCTACCTCTAGATGAGGTTGTTATTGTAATTTCTTTCCTTCCCAGGTGACTCTCAGGAAGTCGAGGAAGCCCTGGCTCGGGCCCCATGGCTGGTCATCGACAAACTTGGCAACTTCTTAGGCGATAAACGATGGACAGCGACGGACGCGGGAGACGCCGAACGACGACGGCGGCAGCTAGAGACGTTCTCGTTGGTCTAGACGCAAGGTCGACAATAAGAGGTTCAGCATATCTAACACGTCCACGAAGCAATCTGCTCAGCCAAGCCTATAAATAATATCCACGTTAAACGTAAAGCTCGCGATGAACAATCCAGCAAATCTGACAAGTCCACGAAGCAATTTTTTCTATGTCTTCTTACACCACCTAGGACGTTAACACAGCAAGAATAGCGTTAGTTGCGTCGAACTCACATCAACATATTGCGTTGACAGCGTCCACCCCCCTTTCCCCCTGCTTATACAAGATCGCCATGAAGCTACCGACGCCCGCCTCGACGGAAGCGGAGGTGTCGAGAAGGCCACGAGACAGAGGTGCTTTGAATTCTTCCCCTTCCTTGGAGTGGTCGCGAAAATCTGTTGGCACGTACCCCTTCTTCTCGCCAGGGAAGTTGGGAGGTCTACCACAGCCACAACAATGTGGGAACATAGATCTTCTTCTCTCTAGGAACGTTTGGAGATCTGCCGCAACCGTGAAGATGACCCGTGGGAACGTCTACGCTACGTCTGGTTAGTCCCCTTTCACTAGGTTTATTTCCACCTACTAGATTTGCCTTTTCGCCCCATGTAAGTATAGAATGGCATAAGTCAACCTAGAAACACAGGCAATCTTTCTTGGACTCGATGATGCGAGGTCATTGAATATTTCACCTCGCTGCTCCCGGTATCGCTGAAGTCAACAGAACTGGAAGCTCGACTTCATGTCACAACAATCATGCAGGATAGCAACGACAATCCTCGCGCATCCCAATTTCAGCATGCATCTTCACTATCAAAGGTAGCCCCGCGGCCTGCACACAGAGGTGCTATCTACTGGTTTTTTTGCTATCTACGAAAATTACTTGATGACAGGTCTGATGCTCTGTACTACCCTTTTTTTGTTTCATCCATAAGCCCTGATTAGTTCCTCCTAGTTTTGTCCTTGTGTGATTGATGATCTGAAAGCCGTCTGAAAAGAATCTGGATGGCTAACCATGCTGCAAACGTCAAGCGTGTGCGTTGTCGCTTGATCTCCGATAATGATGAAGTCCCATGTATCCGAATGCCCTACCGTGTCGTGTAAGATGTGTAAGGCCCCAATCCCGCCGTTTTGAAAGTCCCTCCTGCCACGTTCCATTCTGTCCCTCTGCAATCGAAGGCATCTTGGCTCAATCCCAAGTCTTAACCCACAACAGCAAACTCATCCGCAACATCGTCCTCAGCACCATCCTCGTTCGTGTCAAGCTCGCCCTTCAGATGGTAAATATCGTACTCCGGGAGAGTAGGGGGTTGCTCCGCTGCCTGAAGTTGACTCGGGAACACTGGCACAAGACCCGGGTAGTTGGGCAACGTGTACACGTAGGAGGATCCTTCCGTAGACTTCCTGGTCTGAGTGAAGATGTCCTTGTTGATCCAGACGCAAGGTCGGCGATAAGCGGTCCAGCAAATTTGGCAAGTCCATGAAGCGATCTGCTCTGCAGTAGCTCCCAAGCCGACGATCTCGTCGGGCTCTATCTCGCCTGCTGTAATCGGCTGACACAGGATCCGCTTGTTACCAGTAGGCAGTCTCGATGTCGCAAGGGCACTGCAGACGGCGCACTTCCACTCGAAACCCTCGGGCTTGGGTCCGATCATGAGGTTCGGCCAAGTCTGCTAGAGGGCGTTCCAATTCTTCAAGAACGTGACTCTCTTGGGTGACTCAGCATTGTTGTACTTGGTTCGGGGAATGAAGTGGACGGTCTGCTCCATGTGGTTCCAGACGACGTCCTTGACATCGACGTTGAGTGAGCGCGCGAGGAAAGGAGGAGGGCTCTGGTAGCGACGGTTGTGAATGAATTGGAGGATTCTCGTCGCCAGAATCCATGAATCGTTGTAGCTGATGTCTCCTCCCACATTTCTGTGGTAATGGTCGGTTGGCAGCTGGATACTGCGCCGGGAGAACGTCTCGCTGTTCTGGACATTGACCGAAACCCACTTGCTGGTCGTCTCATCCTGCCATGCGGCGGTGACAGCAAAGGAGTGAAGCTCGTCAGAGTTGTCCCAAGCGCCGTGTTGAGGACCTCGGTACCAAGGGGTGGCATGCGGCTTGCCGTCGTCCATGGATTGAATGGACACGACCAGAGGCGTGTCGATCGGGGGCGCTGGGTTCAACTGGTCGAGAGAGTAGCAGAGATTCCAGCTCGTGTCTCCAGTGACTGGCACCGTGACCTTGAAGATGCGACGGCCTCCAGCTTGTGACACGCGCGAACGAGTGCGGAAGACTGACATCTCGCGTCCTTCGCAGGTGATGTGGTAACAAATCCAGCCATGTTTCTGGCCATGAGCCTCCTCGACTCTTAGTCCGTGGAGCTGTCCAACATCGATGTCTGCCTTGCGAATGGCAACTGCGCAGCTGTCAGCATTTTTGGTCACAAAGTGACAACTTGACTAAGGCCAAAAGTCCGCAAAACTCACCTGTCTGAAAGTCGCCGTTGTTGTTCATAAGCTGGCAGAGGACGTAGCCCTCCATGTCCGGGGCGTCGCACATTAAGTAACCGATCAGGCCCTTGTCGACGTCGACCTCGATACGGTTGCCCTTCTGGTCCTTCATGATGACTTCGGTGTCCCTGTTGACTGTGACCGCTCGAATTTCCTCAGGACTAATGACCCGGCCGTTCGGGAAGGACTGGCCCTGGGGTACCGACATTACCGGCGCCATCGTGAGGTGCTCGCTGTGGCGGCCTTCCTAGGTGGTGCTTCGAAGAGGAAAGTATGGCTAGGAAAGTAGGAGAAGGGGAAGGTGGTCGAAAGTCGAATGTGCTAGAAGGTGTAGAGGTAAAGGTAGGCTTCCTTTGCCTCTAGGGGAGATGAATATTGTGATGTCTTCCCTTCCCAGGTGATGTTGAAGAAGAAAGATTGGGATGGGAGAGGAGAGAAAGCTCTCTGAAGAGTGGGATGAGAGAGGAATGGTGGGATGGAAAAGTTCAAAGGAGGGCAGGGTTTTTAAGGGCTCAATTTGGTGCCGCCTGAGGTGGGAGGTGTAGAAGGTGAGGGCGGGCTTCAGCTCCTGAGGTGAGATGAGCCGAAACTGCTGCAGTGAATGTGAGGTGAAAATTTTGTGGTGTGTGAGCCAGAACAACGCGACAAGGCAGGAGAGAGTGCCCGGTCCAAAATGCTGCAGGAAAATGAAATCCCAGGGTCTTGGGGGCCTCAAAGGAAATGGCTGGGGCTCATAAGTGTAGAAAACTGCTCTGGAATAGGCAGACTGGCGGTCTCACCTATATCAATGGACTTGGGCCTTTGACGAGGAAGGCTTCAGGTGCTCCCAAAGAAGCTTGTAGATACAAGTCTCTACCCACCTCTGTAGATCTCTTCAGGAGTCTAAGCAAGACCTGATTCCAGTGTGCTAGGTTCACAGGATACTTGGGTATTGGGCATGACGACGGCAAATCAACGATGACAGAGACGACGACAGAGACGACGACAGGACAGACGACGACGGAGATAACAGCAGAGATAACAGCAGAGCTGCAGAGAATACAGTTACAATGGCGCATTTAGATAAATGTCTTCTAATACGATCTTCAGCTGGTAGCTTTTCTAAATGTTCTACCAGCTTTAGGACGTGATGGTATGTTTCTCTACTGAGAGACAACCTTGATCCCCCGTCTGTGAATGAGCGAGAGAAATACCATGGCCACATTGAGTCCACTTGCGAGTAATGTAGGGAGGCTGGGTTCTTCGAGTGGCCTGTCCTGTAACGGCGCCATATCCTTCTCAACTAGATCTTATAAGGTTTTCAGATGTTCCTTTCTTCATAGCTTCTGGGAATGCTTCAAGTCGTTTTCTACATCGAGTCTGTTTTAGCTGTTCTTTGAGATACGCTTCGTTAATTGGTCTTCATCGCATCCTACGTTGCATATCATGTCGTGGGTTGTGATGCTGAAATCCCTTGACGTCACTTATCCCTTTACTGGGAGGAAAGAATGGACCCAGGATCGCCGGAAGGGAGGTGTGAAAGCGTCTATCCATTGATCAGGTCTGCATCGTTGTCTTCAAAGCAGTTCCCGAAGTCAGTCGCTCACGTTGGCTCGCTGTACAAACTCTATCTTCCGCTTACACCGCCGATCACCGTCTGCTAACTCCCGCCAGCCTTCTGATGGCTATTTTATCCACCTAAGGCTGAGAAATCTGATTTTCTGCAGGGGGTGGACCGATTAGGAGCTTGGATTGAGAGATGGGGATAGCATGGGCTGTGCCGTGCCTTGCTGGGAAGTAGACATGCTGCCGGCGCTGGCGTTCCCTCTAGAACTTCGCCTGCTTTAAGAATGGATGTCGGCGTAGACTTGTGGAACTGGTAGGCTAGCAGCCTTCCCGAGGGAGGGTGTTGTCTGCATTAAATATGAGAAGGAACAGTTGAGAGAAAGAAGTCGTTGGGGAGGGACTGCTACTCAGAAGCCGACGATATTCCTGGGTTTAATGCGTTTTGAAGTTTCAGATACCAGAAGACAGAAAAAAAAAGGGGGATGCTAGACACTCAACGACTGGGCCAGAAAGGTAGAAAAGTTCAACTGTGGCGCGATGCCCGGCGCAGGCTCGAGAAGAGACAGCCGCTCACAGGACAATAGTCTTTCGGAGTTGTTCGCATCAGATATTCGGACATTAGGGACAGCTAAGAGGAACCGGCTATTGCTTCGACGGACTCGGGAGAGACACCGGACGACGAGGACGACAACAACGACGCGGACAATAACAGCAGCAACAAGGGAGATGGCGGAAGTAACTGCAATAAGAAGAGAATCTGATGAGGGAAGTTCGAGATCAGATTTACAGCACAACGATGACGGACGAAGACGACTACGATAGCGACGGAGGCGGCTACAGTGACAACGAGAGAGGACAGCAACAAGGTCAAGAGCAACGGCGAAAGTCAAGAGGGCAGGAATAACATAGATGTCTGGTGTTCCAGGTTAGTTGTCAGGTCTAACTGGACGACGACGACGACAACGACATTAGCAGTGGGGGCAGGCGTCACGATGAAACCAAGATTGTGAGACGGCGGCAGAAAGTGGAGACAGCCAGAACAGCACGTGATCTGAGCCGCTCTAGTGCATTTGCACAGACCAGATGAGAAGCAGGATTTTTTTTTCGGGAACGGGGCACCTACCTTATCGATAAGGGTAACTGCCCTTCTGGTCAGGATCTCTACCCGTCTCCCATCCCACCTACGCAGGGGGTCTCGCGAAAAGCCTCACATTCTTTTCTTACACCTCTCTCGACCGTCGACCATCGTTTTCCTGTCCAACTAACCCCGCCAATTCACAGGAACACCACGATGTCTCACCGCAGTACGTTTTCGCGCTCCTTTCGCTACTTTCTCTCCTTTCGCGCTCCAATTGCGCTTCAACCGCACAAACATCGACAAGAATGAAGGCTCACCGTTCACACAGAGTACGAGGCTCCCCGCCACGGTTCGCTGGCTTACCTGCCGCGCAAGCGTGCTGCTAGGCACAGAGGCAAGTGTAAAAGGTCGGTTGTTTCCTGTTTCTTCGTTTTCTCTGCTCTCCCGAGCTGTCCGGAATTTCTGGGAGTTTCCTGGAATTTTCGGAATTTTGGGGTTGAAGATGTTGAAGAACACCATGCTGACGATGCCTTCAACAGCTTCCCCAAGGACAATGCCAAAGCATCGCCGCACTTAACCGCAACTATGGGTTACAAGGCTGGCATGACCACGATCGTTCGCGACCTCGACCGTCCCGGCGCCAAGGCCAACAAGAAGGAGGTGGTTGAGGCCGTCTCCATCATTGATACCCCCCCTGTACTAGCAACGCAGCCCGCTTGGCTTTGTGCCTATGGCTAACATCTTCTAGGTGATCGTTGTTGGTATTGTGGGTTACATCGAGACTCCCCGCGGTCTTCGCTCTCTCACCACCGTCTGGGCCGAGCACTTGTCCGACGAGCTCCGCCGTCGCTTCTACAAGAACTGGTACAAGTCCAAGAAGAAGGCCTTCACCAAGTACGCCAAGCAGCACGCCGAGTCCTCCGGCGCCAACATCACCCGCGAGATCGAGCGCATCAAGAAGTACTGCACCGTCGTCCGTGTCCTCGCCCACACCCAGATCCGCAAGACTCCCCTCAAGCAGAAGAAGGCCCACCTCATGGAGATCCAGATCAACGGTGGCTCTGTTCCCGAGAAGGTCGACTTCGGCTACGGTCTCTTCGAGAAGCCCGTTGAGGTCAGCTCCGTCTTCGAGAAGGACGAGGTTATCGACGTCATTGCCGTCACCAAGGGCAAGGGATTCAACGGTGTCACCTCCCGTTGGGGTACCAAGAAGCTTCCTCGCAAGACTCACAAGGGTCTCCGCAAGGTCGCTTGTATCGGTGCTTGGCATCCTTCCCACGTCCAGTGGACCGTTGCCCGTGCCGGTCAGGACGGATACCACCACCGTACCTCTGTCAACCACAAGGTTTACAGAATCGGCAAGGGCGACGCTGACGACAACGCCGCCACTGAGCTCGACGTCACCAAGAAGACCATCACTCCGTATGTTTTCCCACCTTCTATTCAATTGCGCGCAACTGCTAACATGCTCCCAGCCTCGGTGGCTTCGTCCGCTACGGTGAGGTCAAGAACGACTTCGTCATGGTCAAGGGCTCCATCCCCGGCCCCAAGAAGCGTGTCGTCACCCTCCGCAAGTCCATGTGGACTCACACTTCCCGCAAGGCCCTCGAGAAGATCGACCTCAAGTGGATCGACACCTCGTCCGAGTTCGGACACGGTGCTTTCCAGACGCCGGCGGAGAAGAAGCAGTACCAGGGTACTCTCAAGAAGGACCTTGCTACCGCTTAAATGGGGAACGATTCACTTTCATTGTATCATGGTCATGGCATAGGTGTCGAGGGTTCTTCACGTTACTATTCGGATGGTTTGGGACACCTCAAAAGAGGTTTAAAATGAGTGCCGGAATCAAAAAGTCAAACCAATGAATGATACCTAGATGACCATCCCATTTGCATGTGTTCGTAGAGACTCTTGCTCAAATTTGCGCAATTGACGAATTTTGCCAACTTTTCGATGAACTTTTCGGATTTTACGGCGCATATTTTCCTGTGCGCTTGTGGCGCTCGCTTCTCCACCCCTGCAGTTTTGCTCTCTTTTCTTTTTTTTTCTCTATTTAGTCTCAATGTGGCGCACCCGGCAACCGCATGGTGGGGTATCCCGGTCCACTCGCAGCGGCGTGAGGCGTGGCTAGCCGGCGCGTTGCGTCATTCCGAAATGCCCAACCACACCGTGCATGATGTCCCGCGAACCAGCCGCGACCACAACCACTCCTGCCTTATAATCACAGCTCCCCTCCTCGACCCCGCCATCCTTACGAATGAACGCGACTACGCTACCTCGATCACTTGCCAGAAATCTCTACCGCAGAGCATTTCGCCCCATCTTACAAACGAACAACGCGATCAGAGCTAGATCGCACCTCTACCCACTCGTTACACGAAGCTTCGCTACGACGACACAGTACCTCAAGATGTCCGACGCGGATTACGCTGCCTTCCTGGACAAGGCTAACCAGGATCCCAACGAGGGCTACGCAAAGCCTGCGGCTACCAAGAAGGGAGAGTTCAAGGCGCAGGACGAGGGTGTGGAGGTGCCCAAGGCGATTCAGGATGTGTTGAAGGAGGACAAGGTGTATGTGTCTGATGCGGACGAGCCGTTTGTCGGCGTTGCGCTGGCGTGGGATGAGGGCGGCAAGGGACTGCCTGATGAAGGTTGGTATCATGCTGTGTTCGCATTTGGGGAGGAGCTTTGCTAATGATGCGGGTTGTAGTCGAGTTCGCGCAGCTTATCCAGCACCCTGATCCCGAGAATGCCGACGTCGAGCTCCAGGACCCCGTCGACTGGGACGCGAACGGCGACTACAAGGACATCATCGAGGCGGTGCGCAAGGCGGGCAAGGGCAACGACGTGAGGGTCTATGTGGTGCCCAAGGGCGGAGTGAGGACGGAATACTGGCTTGTTACGACGGAGGGCAAGGGTAAGGGGGCGAAGCTGGTTGGTGTGAAGGCTCTGTCTGTTGAGAGCTAGACTCTTCTCATACGCCATGCGGATTCAAGAGAAGGTGTCCGAAGAAGATATTATAAAGTGCCAAATGAAAAAGAGCACAAGTTTGATACCCAAGAAACGACATCTGCGGATCGATGGCGAGTTGCACTTCGTTGTGGTCATGAGAACTGGAAACCAAGTCAAGTTTTCTTGGCCATGCTCGGTGAATACATCATATATCTCGGTCCCACGAATCAAACCATCCCACAACGAGATCAGATCATATACCAGCCGGGGATTGCAAGAACGACAATCGACCTCATCTTCATGAACATACGCCTCACGAATCACCAACCCACATTTCACAAACGTCAGGAACAAAACATCATGTGAACGCCGCCGAAACAAAATTTCTATTTCCGTCTATCATTATTTACTCGCAGCCTGCTGTTGCTCGTAATACAGCTGTTCCGCTGTCGTTACGCATTGCATGTTTGCGCCGAGCTTGTTCATCGTCTCCATCCACTCATCGTACCTATGAAAACGTCAGCACAAGTCTTCACAATGAAAAGGGGCTAGCCACTTACTCATCTGAGTCAAACACAATACCACCACCTGCCACCAAAGTCAGCTTTAATGTTTCACCTCATCACAAATAGGGGTAAACTCACCGGCTTGCAGATACGCAACACCATCCTTCACAAGCATCGTCCGCAGCGCGATGCAAGTGTCCATAGCACCCTCCACCTCCTCGCCCTTCTCATCGAGGCCGCCGTAGCCAAAGTATCCCACCGCACCAGCATAGATGCCCCTCTTCTCCTGCTCCAGCTCGGCAATCAGCTCCATCGCCTTGACCTTGGGCGCGCCCGACACCGTGCCGGCGGGGAAGATGCTGCGGAAGGCATCGAACCTCGTCTGGTCCGGCCTCAACACGCCCGAGACCTGCGACACCAGGTGCTGGACGTGGCTGAACTTCTCCACAACCATGAGGTGGTCCACGCGCACCGTGTACGGGTCGCCCACGCGGTTGACGTCGTTGCGCGCCAGGTCGACCAGCATGACGTGCTCCGCGCGGTCCTTCAGCGAGCTGCGCAGCTCGTCCGCCAGCCGCTGATCCTCCTCCGGCGTCTTGCCCCGCTTCACCGTGCCCGCGATCGGGTGCGTGATGACCCGCCCGCCCTCCGACTTGACGAGCAGCTCCGGCGACGCGCCGACGATCTGGAAGTCCTTGCAGTTGACGTAGAACAGGTACGGCGACGGGTTCACCGTGCGCAGGTGGCGGTAGATGTTGAAGGGGTGCAGCGACGTCGGGCGGGCGAAGCGCTGCGAGGGCACCGCCTGGATGATGTCGCCCTTGACAATGTGCTTCTTCAGCGCCGTGACGTGCGCCTCGTACCCCTTCTGGCCGACGTTGGAGGTGTACTCCTGGCCCAGCTCGATCGGCTGCTGCTCCGGCAGGGGGATCTCGGGGGCGTTGAGCACGGCGATGAGCTCGTCGATCGTCTGTGTCGCCTTTTGGTATTCTGCCTCCAGCTGCGAGAGGTCCTCCGGGACGTTCAGATATGTGATGACCTTGATCACGCCGTAGAACCTATCAAACGCCACAATGGTGTCGAAGAGCATGAACAGACTCTCGGGGATCTTCAAAACGTCCTTCATCGGCCGCGCCGTCTTGGGCTCAAAGTAGCGGACGCAGTCATACCCGACGTAGCCGACGGCACCGCCCGCCATGGGCGGCAGCTGCAGGCCCGGCACATGCGCAACGACGTGGCTCGCCAACTCAGCCTCGAGGGCCGGTAGGGGATCGCATTCCGGGCCGTACCCGGGTCCTGTGGCGAGGACTTTCCTGGGACCGGCGCCGACGAAGCTGTAGCGACCGACACGCTCTGTGGCGGCGCTCTCGAAGAGGAAGGAGTAGTCGGAGTCCTTGTGGGCGGCGGAGACCTTCAGGTAGGCGGCGGAGGGCGTGATCAGGTCGGAGGAGATCTGGCGGTATACGGGGACGAGGGTGGGCTTCTTGTTGCCGGCGGGGGCGGACAGGACGGACCTGACCGTCTCGAGGGACGGGACGACTGCACGCTGGGTGGACATTGTTTGGTCAGTGAGGCCGTCAGAGGCACGCGGCGGGGTCAATTGGGAAAGACGGAAGACGTACAGGTCCCGACATTCTGTTCCGGGCCGCTACTGAGGCTGATTTTGTGTTGGTGACTTGTAAGACGGGTGATTTCGTGGTTTGTATCTGAGTCACCGCAATCGATTAGATTAAAGTCGGCTCCGGGGAGCTACAATCATTTAGCTTGGGGTTGCTGCATGGCGCGGACTTGGAGGGGTGACAGGGTCCGATAAGCGGAAGGTCACTGCCGGAGCGTTGCGATAAGGCGAAAACAGCGTCCATTTGTGGCAACCCCGCGCTGAACGGCGGCGTCTCATGGAACAAAGCTCCGTGCCCCCATTGTTTCCCGCTAGTTGTGTCTTGGATTTGTGAAAGTGGAGCTAGGGAACGTTGACGATCTCAACTCTGTTGACTTTACGTTCTGTTGTTCAACTTTTGAGTGTGGACATGGCACTTCAGGCACGTTTTCAGCTCTACGCCACGGAACATTCAGCGTCGTGTATACACTTGCAGGTCATTGTGGATTACAGTTCAAGCACCGGAATACGTCATAGAAGCCAGGCGTAAGCATTAGCAGCTTCAGCATCGTGAAGTCATTCAATCTCAAAGAGTTCCACATGTTCAGTTCATAACCACCCTCAAGAGGCATCATACAGCATGCTGTCTCTTCAGCGTCGCTCTTGTTCGTACACGGCCACTTGAATCAGAGACGTCTCGATTCTCGTCTCGTTCACACTGTGGCGGATGTAGTTTTCACATAATCACAACTTCAGCCAATGTTTACGGCACGAGGTTGACTTCGTCCATCGAGAATGCTTCCAAGAGGATCATCATGTCCTACCTCTAGCCGTGTTTATCAACTTCGAAACATCACCTCATGTTTGGTCAAGAAGAAACACACTTAGATGGATGGTATGTTGTCTTATTCACTATGACTCAGGATATCTCCTCCATTATAGCCAATGCATCCATCAACCCTTGCCAGATCCCAGTGCCCGCCTGCGTGTATGCTTTTGTAAATCTCTATCCGTATCCCAGAAAAGACTGTCATGATCTCATAAAACGCTCCTCGAAACAGCTCAAAAAAGATTATACGAGGGTATAAAAACCGATCCGACACCAAGAGCGACGGTAGCTAACCCAGCCCACAGCGCCGCTCCGGCAACAACGCCGTCTTGCAGGATGCGCAAGTGCTTGTTCTTACTCACTATGCTCCGTTCAAACACTTTTCGAAAAAAGGACCGCTGCTCGTACGTGGCGACCCATTCTTCGTTCAGGAAGAGGTTCTCAGGGCCAAAAGTCTGTAGTGTAGGTTTGCGCAGCGGGTCCACAGCTCCCGAGACGCTTTCCGATGTAGCAGCCCGGCGGTGCCGCTTGTCGGCCCCGGTTCCGGATTCCAGGTCCGGCACCTCCCATGGCCGGACGTGTCGTCGATGTGCCAAGTGGAGGGATAGCGACACGCCGTCCAACGCAGCTACCAGGACGGCCAGGCCGGAGAATATTAAGGGCGCGGATAAGAGACGGTAGTACCGTGAAATGGATGAAAGAATGAATGCAATGTCGAGACCCAGCCCGAGAATGAAGAGACAGAAACCAACGCCGCGCAGAAGATGTGTTGCCATTGGGTTGGTGTTGGAGATGTTGTGGCGGATGAAGTTTGGGTGCAGCTTGCCGCGGAGAAGGGCCTCGGCCTTTTCGAACGCCAGCAGCAAAGCGGAGGGGTGCGTTGTAGAGGCTGCTGCTGTCAAAACGGATGTGCGATCATCCTTTGTTAGGTTTAGACGCCGTGGGGCGTTGGGGTTGATGTAGTGATTTACGATGGTGGTGATGTCGGAACGGAAGGGTTGAGATGATGGTGAGGCTGGGGTAGGTTAGCTTCATGAAAGGTCAAAAGAACGTCTCGCGAGCATCCCGCCGTGAGGAGTGAATGGAATCTTACCAGCTGCCGATATCGTCTCCCCCGCTTCCTTCTCATCCCCCTTCATATAAGTCGCTCTTGGATGAGAAAAGTTCGTCGCGGCCGATGCGTTGCGGTTGTGCTTTCCAGTCGGACTCTTTCCATCCGCGCCGACATTCGTCTGGTTACTCTCCTCGTCAAGAATTTCCAGAATATTGCTGACTTTGCTCGAGTTCTTCGCCCTTCTCTCCTTCGAAGTGAGCTTCTTGCCCCGGTACGGATCCCAGCGTGGTGCGAGAGCACGTTCTTCAGGCGAGAGAGTGGTCCATGTCTGGACATAGCTGCAGTACCAGAGAAAGAACTGGAGGGGCTCGGCATCTTGCTCGACGTAGACGAGGTAATCCATAAAGTCGTTCAGTGAGCATGGCTGGTGATCATGTTAGTGGGGTGCCGTAAACTCCAGCACACTTGTCTGCTTGAAGCTCACCGATGCCGTGTTGTTCCTGATAATCTCCTCAAAAGCCAACCGGGGTGGAATCCACTTGTTGCTTCGCCTCGTTCGACGACGGTACCGCCGGCAGTCCTCGTCCATGACCGGCGGGCGCCACGGCCGCTCGGCGCCGGGCGTCTTGTAGAACCTGAGCGACATCTCGGCCGTCCTTGTGCGGCCTCACTCTGTCGAGCCTCCAGCTTCAAGCTGTGTGCGAGTGGATGCGTTTGCATATGCAGTCGTGCTGAGGACAAGTCGAACCGCTGGTCCGATGCAGGAAAATGTTTGTCCTTCCACTGACACCCAGACCTTCCGAATCGGTGTGGGTGGGCGGTGGCCCGGTCTTTGTACAAGACGTCGAGAAACAGATCCAGGGTTCCAGCAGAACAAAACACTAGCTTCGAGATGTGCGCCGCAGATGCGCGTGCGCGACTGCGACGCTACATATAAGCACAAAAACTGAGGTACGGTAGCCGCAGACCGCTACATGCGCACCCGTCATTCCCGCACCCACAGGACTCCCAGCCCGCGTCTGCCCTGTCTGCCTCAGCTTCGTCCGACGTATCAGCCGTGAGGGTAGAACTGCTGGCTCTGCGCCCCAGGGAATGACATGGGGAGAGGGAGACAGAGAGGAGGCCGGACCATCGATGCAACGGAACCACGCGGCGATGGCGGCCGGGTTTCTTGCGTGCGTGTGTTGGCCCCTCCCCGGTATGAGATGCTGCAGGAACGCCTTGCTTGTGACCCGTCCTGCTGCTGCGATGCCGTCTTATCAAGTTGGCCAGGTATAATATCAATCCAAAAAGAGGGACGGACAGGCACCCTGGATGCGGCGTCCGGCAAGGGCGGGGCTCTGTGTCCCTCTCTCTTTCGCTTCTCCCTCATGATTTTCTCGCGTATCGGCGGCTGGGGCGGGGGTAACTCCGTATGTCCAGGATGGACTTGTATGAAAAACCCGGGACGACGAGAAAAAGGGCAACAGATCACGGTGGCAGGCCCAGCCCGGGACGCTCGTCTGCCGGGGCAAGGCGCGAGTAAGCCGTGATATAGGTCATTATAGGCTCGGTCTGGCGCGCCGATGACGAGATGTGAAGAGTGTGGAGGTGAGACGCACGGAGTGATCTACCAAGTTTGCTTTTTCGCCCTCGCTTCACGACGAAGCAAGCACTCGCTGCCTCGGACCGTGATTCTTTCTCTAGCCTAGTAGAGTATCAAAACGAACAACCCCGAATAGGAAAAGTGAGGGACGACGATGCTCCAACCCTCCCACACGTACTGTCATTTGGCGTGGCATGTCCTGCGTTTGTTGCGTCAGCCTGGATGGACCTGGTCAGAGACCCATGACAGCGGTTCCACGGATTGTCGCGCGGGTGTGCCTGGTACCTGCGTGACGGCCTCTCTCGTGGCTACGCTTCTGCCTGTCCGGATCTGCCAGAAGCGTGCGGGAGGGTGTGCAAGTACGACGAAAGAGACAGCCAGCGACACGAGACAGGACAGGACAAACTGACGGGGCAGTTCCGGACGATGGTGCGGTGCCAGAGCGTTGCGGGTGGGCGTTGATTGGAGACAGCAGAGCCGGAGCCTACATGACGTGAACGGGCTGCTGGCCTTGTTTCAAGGGAACGTGCAGAGTGCAGATGGTGAGGTTGGAAGAGTTGAGAAGAGACGGGGTCACGGAGAGGACGTGGAGAGCTGGGGCAGCCAACGGCATACACCGATTGGCTCCACGGCGCGGCATCGAGTCGCGTTTCAGAACGTTCATCCTGTATCTCGTAGTCCTCGCTGCGGTGCGCCTGCCGGGGTGAGGCCGGTTCGGTTTGGGGGGATCCCGTCCGGTAGAGGGAGTCGGTCTGTTTTCAGGTAAGCCGCACCCGGGCACTGGCCGAGGTGATTTGTGATTATGATTCCAGTTGCGGGCTGCACTCTGGTCGGTGCAACTTGTAAGACGTTCACAATACACTTACAGTCAGTGAGGTCTGACGAGCAAAGTGTGAATGTCCTGCTGTGCCGCAAGCCACAAATGCAACGACGGGACGCCTGGTTTCTGCATATTCATGCTGCTGCGGACTTGCATATCGATGCAGGTTTCTGTGAGGCACACCACTTAAAGCAGTCGAAATGCGGCTGACGCTCACAGATTGATCGACGGACTGACTTGCGTGTGTCCGCTGGCATCGCCCATGACTTGTGCTGCATATATGTATAACAGCATCTGGCCAAGGTATAAGATCAGAGTGTCAGTTGATGTGGATGGCCTCGTTCTCGCTTTGTAGTATTCGTCTTCTTCGCCGGTGGTGTGTACTTGTTGTCTGTTGCCAAGTCCTCGACACAACGCAGCTCAGACTCGGGGTTCTCCAGTTACGTATTTTTAGGGCGAACGATCCGGCTCAGTCGCACCGAGGGAGAGAAGGGGATCCGAGAAAGGAAAAAGAAAAGACAAGACGAAGGAAACAAAGCCGGGGTCACCCAGGGTTTGGGGGACTGTGGGTGCAGTCCCAGTCTGGTGATCAGATCGCCAGTGCGTCTCGTCAAGAAGAAAATCTGGAGATTCAACGATGCGCTCAGACTCTGATGAGCCGGCTTCGAATTCGACGACAACAGCACCATCAAAACTGCCTTTCTTGATTAGCGGCACCCGTCCAATCCAATCTTTCTTCGTCCTATAATCCACACCCTATAAGGTTGCCGAGAATAGGACAAGATTCCGTCACGTCAAGTCAGCCCCAAAGTCAAAGTTGGTCCAGATTTCCTGTTTTTGTCATCTCTCGGCACCCGAAAGGAACGACAGAAAATCGGGTCGCCTCATGTTCAAAACCTTCTTCCCTCGAGATATAGTACACGAGCCATTTTCTACGACCTGCGCTGCACTGCATTCTTTGGCTCTGGCTCCCAAAACCCCCCTGGTCCCCGCTAACAATGGCACTCACCGAAGGCCGACAACGTTCCCCGGCCAAGCAAAACATGAAACCTGCCCACCCAGCGTCAATACCGAATGTCAAATATCACCAATATTGCCACGTCCAAGTCTCAATAGCGCGGCATTAGCATTCTGACAGAAAGGCCCGTCGTTCGGGCATTTTCGTTCCAGTGTGCTTCCCATCTTCCCGCGCGCGATCAGCTGTCAATGACAGACTGCAGCTATTAAGAACTGGTATAAGCCACCACTTTATGTGCACGAGTGGGCATACTTTGCTCGCATGAAGCTGAACGACGGAAAACGCGGCTGGCCTGTGTTTCTGGATGCCTTCTGGATGTCGAACAATTCGAAAACGTTAAGATCGACCCGATCCGTGACAGCAGGCAGATCTGAAGGCGACGTTATGCCGCCTGCCAGCAGAAAAACGGAAACGTCGTTTTCATCAAGATCATCATGTGCAGTGTCGTGTCCATCTCGTGGGCAAGATGCCGAGCGGGGAAGCCATCATGATACACACCCAGAAGAAACTCGCATTATCAGTCTGTCATAACACCACCATGTATGCCCCAAGGCATACTCAACCATCGACATCTCCTACGATGGCACCTTGACACAATCGACTGCACACCCCCATTGGATCTCAGATATGTCCGTGCCCACACTGTTAGCATGATGACAGGCGTCTTGACGTGAATGCCACCCGCGGCGATCCCCTCTTACAAAAAAAGCAATCCGTCAAACCTCTTTCTTAGGTTGCGACTGGCTCCAGAGACCATGGATCTCACTCAGCCCCCTTCTGCCGTTTCCCATCATCCCCCCTGCCTGTCACACGCAATGCTCACCCCGGCAGGCCAACGGCATACAAGAACAACTACGACGACGACAACACCGTCCCACTTAGGCAATCAGCTCCCATGTCTTGTTGCAGCTTACGCTGAGCAACCCCTCATGTCGAGCTGCCAGAGCTTGTCGATGACCATTCAGCTGCCTAGAACCATCATCTCTAGCCAGAGCCCGGAACGGGTTGACATAAAACAGGCCACCAAGATGCAGGAGATCATAAACTAAGAAAGGTCGGACTGTTCTTCCAACAGCTGTTCCGTTATACCTCATATCAAGAGGGCTTAGTACGCCGGCATTGAGTGTACAATCGTTTCCGTGATGGAATGTCCATCTTCCGAGATGCCTTTCTTATTCCAAGTAAGCATACATCCTAAGAATGACCTCGAAAGCAGCATTACTGCCATGGCCACTGTCTCTATTGCACCACCAGGACCTTTCTCGTCTCTCAATTCGCAATGTTTTCCCCAACCCATATCGTCGATTCATGCCAATCACTGCCCTATGACTGCTTGATCCCTGGGTCTCTTAAGCATTTTCGATGATTTGCCACGCGACCCAAGCTGCAACCCATGGCAACACGTTGTTTCTTGTCCACTCTTCAGATGCCCCCGCGGAGATGAAAACATCGCCGTCCCCGACGCCGGCCTCGCATATGCATCCAGAATCAGAACCGACGTTGCTGATGCTCATGAGAAGCGGTCGAGGTGTCGCCTGGACGCTAATGGACGTCTCATTTGTTGAAATAGTGTTGTTGAAAGGAGTAGGAGTACTCGACAAGTTCGTATCGGGTGCAGGTGCGGCATTGTCTTGAGTACGGTGCTTTTTTATGTGATTCTCGATTGGCCCCCATGAAACGAGGACGACGCAGGATGTCGCGGCGGTAACACAAATGCCGTTGGCGAAGCCTTTGAGCCAAGCCCTGTGTACTCGTCTTCTTATGTGCTTTTCAGGGTCAGGAGTATCGTCGTCCATTTCGATGCAGCGAGATTGAAACGCGGGAAGAGGTGGCAGCTGGAAAAATCGACAGCAATAGGGTATGATCCAAACAATTCAAACGGCGATATTGTTGACGACGGATCGACGACCCAGAGTTAGGTAATTATCGTCGGAAGCATCGTGGATGGTCGCCTTCTGCAAATGAGCCGAGCGCTCCTTCTGGTTCGACATGGAGCTTCAGAAAGCACTTCGGAAGGTTCTCTTGAGTTGACGTTGGTAACTACCAAAGGCAAGCTACCTAGAATCCAGAACGAAATATTCATCTTGGAAAGCGTCGTGGATAGCCCCTGATGTAAATGAGTTTGGCCCGCTCCTGCCTCCCCTACTATTTTTTCTTGATGCATCAAAGCATATTTCGGAAGGTGACGTTGAATCGACGAGCGACGATTTACAAATCCTCGAATCCGTTGCGGACAGCTGTTGTAATCTAGGACCAAGTCAAACCCGCTCCGTCTGCTTGAAGTATCAACCTATACTCCAAAAGATGATGTTGAGTCGGCGATGGCTGATGCTCAAGGCAAGCGCGGACCCAAAGTCAGGTATTCATCATCGAGATCGCCGAATGGGAGTCCTCCGTAGATACGAGCCGGGCTCCTCCCTTCCCCTAATGTGTTACAAAAAGAAGGACAACGAGACTACCGGTACTTCCTTGCACAAAGTCACAAGATGGGAAGGAGCAACGATCGTACGTGTAGACCGGATCTATTGAAAGGGCTTAAAGCCAACTCCGTCATTGTCTATGTATTCTCGTAAACAACGCCTGGGTATCTCTTTTTTTCCACCCGGGTATTATCGATTAAACCGTCATTAAACCTGCTCGCAATCCATGCAGAACAGAAAGCATCCGAAGCAATAATCCAACCAAATCGTGTTCAGGGCACCAGCACATAGTGTGGCTCCTTCGCCGCACCGACTTGTGTGTACAAATCGACATAAGGCTCCACCTGTGTGCCTGCCAGAACAACAACGCCTTATGCAAATGCCGTGCCGTAGAAAGAAAAGTGTAAGGTATCGTGTCTTCGCCAAGTGGGTATCAGCCGTGATTCCGTCCGTCGTGAAAGTGTATGTTCAAAGTGTACAAGTAGAGAAAGTGATTTCCGTGTGCAGGTTACATCCACACGGTGAAAAAGATCATCACACCGACAAGACCGATTGCCATGCCGGCGATCTGTTTGGTGCCGGAACCTGAAGGCCTCTCGGGGGCTGAGGACTTTGCAGATTCAGTCGGCGCTGCAGAGCCAGAAGCGTATGTGGTTGCACCAGGCTCCGCTGTTGGCGTCGAAGAGTAGCTGCCCTTGAAGGTCTCCCCAAGACTAGGCAGGGCGACATTGCCGTCGACAAGCCAGCCACCGGTGGCCTTGGGACATTCTCGGGTAGAGACGCTGCTTGGGTTGTAGTCGGACTTCATGATACCGGTGGGTGTGATCGTAGCCCACTTGGACTGGAGATTCTGGAACTCTGGAGAGCGAGGAATCGGAGTGCCTTTGCGGGTGAAGCCGTCGTAAACATCGCCGGCGGTAATCGTCTTGGAGACTTCAGGGCCATAAGACACGATACCGTAACGGTTCTCCTCATAGATCCACTCGTAGACCATTGCTCCGCTCCAGTCATCAACCATGGGCTGACTGAAGATGGCATCTTGGTCGTCCCAAGTCCGCGGGCCATCGCCAGTGATACATCCCGTCTCAGTGAAGAAGATGGGGACGGGGAACTGCTCAGCCATGGCCTGGAGGTTTGCGTAACCGGATGTGTTGTAGGTGTTGGGGTCGCACCACTCGTACGAGTTGAGTCCGAAGAAGTCAATGTTATCCTCTGGCTTGCCACCGCAGGTGAGGTAGTCCTGCAGCATGGGTCGCAACTCAGCGATGTCGGCCGCAGAGTAGCCAACGGGAATCTTGCGATAACCCTTCTTGTCGCGGTAGGCCTTCATATCGCGTGCAGCAGCTTTCATGAAAGGGGCAACCTGAGACTGGTTATCAAGCGCAATGATCTCATTGCCAACGAAGAAGCCGAGGACGTTGTCGTATTTCTCAAAGACGTCCATGACTTTGGCGTACGCATTGAACTGTGTCTCGTTCCAGTAGGGAGTATTCTACAAGACGCGTCAGCAAGGGAGCTCTTGGCTGCGTTGGGGTCAAAGTTACCGGAAGAATGTAAGAGTCAAAAGTGTCGAGGTCGATGAGGGTGTAGATGCCAGCCTTGTCGAAAGCAGCCATGCAGCCGTCGTGGTTAGCATCGGGGTCGACATGGTATATACGAATAGCATTGGTGCCCAGCGTCTTCATGAGGTCCGCGTCGCGGGTGCATTGCTCGGTGTCGACGAGCGGATCATCTGAACAAGCTTCATGTTAGAGGGGATGCTGTGTAAGTGTGCAAACGGTTGAGCTGGGCTAACCTGGCCTCAGTTGGTAGGCAATGCCTGCAGATGGCGTCAGCTTGCAACGTTCTGTAAACGAGGACGACGAATTGAGGCGGAGACGGCAGAGGGCACAGAAACGTGTCAAGTGACAGAGACGAACGGTTGGCACGTACCTTTCATGAACCATTGTCTGCCCTTCTCGTCGAAGAACTTGTTGCCGAGGATTTCAATAGGTGCGAGCGCTGCGGCTGTGCCAAGCAGCACCGCCGAGAAGATGCTAGCGACTCGCATGGTGAGGAACGATCCGCAGTTCGAGCTGACGACAAGCTTCGGCTAGTGATAGCAAGTTTCGTAAGAGTTGAGGATTCGATGGTCGGTGATGTTTAAATGCTGTGGCTCCAAAAAAGGCCCAAAAAAGCGTGCAAGTCGAACACTGTGAAGTTGGTGATGTTGCTGTCTAGGATTGTTGTGATTTTTCCGACGAGAGACGCCTAAAATAAATCGAGCAACAGCAATGTTCGCAAGGCATACAGGTAGGCCTAACAGGTAGCGACTGTCGTCTGTGGTGGTTGTGGTCGCCGTTGTTGGCGTCTCTTTCCTTGTCCTTGCTGGTGTCTCTGGCCCTTCCTTCCCTGCGATTATCCCAAAGCTGAACCCCCAATACGTATTCCTTCCGTTGCAGGCTCGACACTGCCACAACTGCGCAACGGCTGACCCAACGAGCCTTCTCGACGCAAACGACAATCAGGCAGAACCTCACAATCGAAGCAACCGCGCTGAAGAACTGTCAAGGTGAGGCGGGAAAGGGCAACTTTGAAGGCAAGAAGGCCTGGAGTATCGTAGGTGAGCAGCTTCGGTTCGAGTGACGTGACTGACAATTGCATGGGGAACAGAAGCTGTTTTATTGCTGGTGCGCTCGACGCGGGACACAATCCGAATGAGCAAGAACAACATGGCCCTGGTTATTTTTTCCCACTCCCCCTGTCGCCCTTCTCACATCGCTCTTCTCTTTCTCTTTTTGGAATCGCATCCCACCTCTCCACACACGTGGAGGGCCAAACGAATGAGAGAGAAAAATGCCTACTTCACACTAAGGCAGGAGTCGGAGCTTGGAGCTCGCTGTGGTGCTAGCGACGACCCGGCCAGGGTGAAAACGACCGGCAACAGGGGTGCGACAAGAGGGCGAAAACGAACAAGGACTCAGGAGTTCAAGCTTGAAGCAACTGAACAAGGGCCGCTGCATGGGTCTGGATCAGTGGAGGTGCGCCATGTTGTGCCATTGGCGGCGGGCCAGGGGGCAAGCTAAGGCATTTTGATTGTCGCCCTCGCCCGGCCGCGAACTCGCAGAATCTGACTGGTTCTTTGCGACATGGACGGCCTCATTGGGGCCAACGAGCCTGCCTGCCTTGACGCAAGACAACCAGCCTGCCGCAGTAAGCAGGCAGCCACACTCTGCCACCATGCGACTCTGCAAGACGTCGACGCGTCTCTCGGCCTACTCGACGGATATGGAATATGACGACTTCTCCCCAGGGCTGATGGGCTCCCCAGAATCCTTCCGCTCCTCCTGGTCTCCCTCTCCCGTTCTCCAGTATTCAGACATGCCGTCCGACAGAGCGGGGAGAGGGAATTGAGCGGAATAACCTCACGTTACCTAAGGTGACGCCGATCAAGAGGGAAGAAAAGATCGCGATCGTCGTCAAAACTTGCTGTTCTCTTCCTGTATCCCCCCACGACGACCACGGACGGAGGCCGCGCGCCACCCACCCGAAGCCACACCGTCTCTGATAGCTCTCCAACCAACCCGCACCATTGCTGTCCCAACCCGAATATTGGCCCGCAGCTTGTCGTGTCCTGTTCCGCTAAGGATAGCCTCACGCAGCTACTTCCTCGCCACGAGTCGGGGGGCCGGGAAACGGACCGAGCTTTCTCACTGATGCGTGCTAGGTTATCAGCCAGAAGAGCTTCTAGCGTCCCGGCAAAAAGCACCAAAAGGCGGACGACAAACGCCAACAGCGGCATTTCTTAATCGCCACGCTGCTATTTGGCATTTTCCTTCTTTCAAGTTACCGCGTTCTCAATCGAGAGTCATGTCGCTATAGGGGCCCAACAATCAGTTTGTTTCTCGGCCTGTCCTTGTTCACCGGGGGCAACCAATTCAACGGCGAAAATCCCGCCTGTGTTTAGCTTGAAACTGATGGCAACGCGACGACCTAATCTCCTCCTCGCTCTGCTCTAATTCTCTTCCACCTCGCCTGCTCTCATCTGGACCGGCCTACGGGGGCATCGCCCAGATTAGCGACACTTACACCACATTCAGGGCACGGATTGAAATTGTCTTCTATTCCTCACGGCCCCCAATGGTGGACGACGGCGGCAACACGGCAAAAAAGGCGGCGGCCTGCTGATAGCGTCTCTGTCATAATGAATATGACGCAACGCACTCAGCGTAGCGTCCCATTCAAATCCCTCTTGGCTCTGCAGTAAGGCAATTCTTGACGCGAACCAGGGTAAGCTTAACCCTGGTTCCATCCTCTGCTCTCGATCCTTGTCCGCTGCCGTTGCAACGGTGATTGCAAAAAAAGATACCAGAAACCCAGGCGGCTGTTTCGTTTGAGAAGTACTCGGGCTCGTTCAGGGTCAAATGTCAAAGTGAGCAGGCGGAGAAGAAAAAACCGAGCAGAAAGAGGGCGCTTCAAGGCTCAACGTCACCGGTGGATCCGGGCAATAGCTGTTGTTCCCTGTCGTTGCAACTCTGTGAGGCAGTCCGAAGCCTGGGAGACTCCGTTGTTGCAGCATCCCCATTGTTGGGTGTCGCTTGGGAGCCTCCTCGGCTCCACCGCGACTGTTATCGCCTGTCGCATTCGCCCGTGGTGCTGGAGAGTGTTTGTATGCAGAGAGGGAGAGGCCTTTCAACCCTATGCGGTGGACCGTCAGCTGCATCGGTGACACGTCTCGCAGCATATGCGCCGCATACATCCATATGATGTCTCGCATTCGTCCAGGCAACCAGCAAACGAAAACTATCGAAGCAAACTCGGCTTCGTGCCGGACGACTGATACGAGCAAAAGGAAGACTCAATGGTAACACCGATTGCATCTTTCGATCAATGTGAGACTTTGCAACCAAGTCGATACCCCGACTCCATAACATCATTCGATCATAGATGAAAGCGGAAATGCCAAACAAATACGCTTCTCGTTGGTCGGCGTCTTGCATACACTGAAACGTGGAATGAACCCCCTCGACAACACCATCCGACTCAACCCTCCGTCCGAAATCTCACCCCGCGTCTGCCAGAGCGACCCAGGATCGCAGGCGGGGTCGATGTCGACACCGGGAAGGGGACCAACGGGGAATAAGAAGGGTCTACGAGGCCAAGCGAACGGCGTGCACCTCGAGGCCGATCGTTCTCGGCGTTGGCGACGATAACGAATTCGACGACACAAAGCACGACACGCTCTTCCCGAACGAGACTAGACGATCCAAAGACTCTCTTTAGTCGTCTAGTATTCGCAGCGCATTGTCTTGGCTTTCCCTAGGACACAGAAGACGGCAGAGCCAAAGTGCGGAGAAGTTCGACGTCGGCCAAGCTCTACACCGAGGCCGGTCAATATGGCCCCCTCCCTACCGCACCCCGACCCGAAGCTGCCGGACCCCAACAGCCAAGGTCAGCGAAAAGGTGAATCCGAGACTTTGTAGCTCTACTATTCTCCTCTCGCCGAGACGCTCGCCAAAATGCTGTTTCCGCACGCTCCAGAGAGAGATCTTTCCGCATGGCCAGAAACAGGCGAAGAAGCCGCCACAAGGTGAGTGGGAAAAGCTTCTGGGTTCTGACCCTTGCTGGCCGCAAGTCGAGACGGGCAACTTCTCCAGTGCAGGCTTCTGTGGCAGCAACACAAGTTCCTGTAGGCCTGCAGTGCGCGCGAGAGCTCAGAGGTCGCTGACAGACTTCCCTGCAGCGCCGCCAACCGCATGGCATTGCTGACAGGCAACCTGATCCGACTCAATGTCGACCAGAACACATGGAAAAGCCATCTCACCCAGAAGGAGCGTCACCTCTACGAACTGATGAATTTAATGCAATGCTTTTGAACGCTCGCCTGGCAGGTGACTGGACAGAATAAACGCAGCACCGTTACGAATACCACCACCACTGTGGTAATATTGCAGCGGTGTCCCACTCCGCGGGAAAAGCCTCCGGGGCCCCTGCTGAGCCTCTTTGGTTTTCTGTTTGTCATGTAAACTGCCCATTCGGCAGGAAATAGCATCACGTAACAGGTGGTACAGATAATGCCATAGCTGCGGCGGCGCCAGCGAGTCCCCCCGGAGGCCGTCGGATTCGCCCTTCCCTGTAGTTACGCGTGCATATGGGAGAGAGAGGGAGAGTGCCTTTTTTACAAAAGGGATGGTCAGTCCATCTGGCGGAATCCTGTTTGGATAGACAGTTTGTTCCTTCTGCATCCACGGGTGCACTCCCTCCTGTAGTATTTCCCTCATACGAATGTACGCAGGCTCATCACAGCCAGTCGGTCTTCTTTGCTTCTTTCACGGCATTGTCCGACAATGTTGGGATGAGAAGGGAAGAAAAAAGAAAGTATGTTCAACCGGTAGTCACTACAAATCAAGACATCAGAGAGGTCTCCCAGGAAACAACACATTTCCATTTCCGCCTACTTTGCTCCGATAGGGTGTTACAGACTTTGCCTGCGTCAAAGGAACCGCGGCAGAGGTATCGCTGAGCAAAAAACACCTGAAAAACCACGCAAACATTTCCCAAGATTTCCTTCCAGTAGTGGCCGCCTTCCTCCATTTTTTATCTACTTGAGAGATTCTGATGCAAGACCCAGGTGACCTGGTAGTATGGTATCGATATCGCAACTGCGCCAACCCAATGGGAGAAAAAGAATGAACTCCAAATCACCGACGACCGCTTAGTTGCATTGGCGCCATTTACTGTCCCACAACATTCTTTCAACCCATCTCAGTACACCGGGGCTTGGTCGCCGCGGCCCCCCGGAACAGCGGGGCTGGAGTCCCACGGTCCCGGCGATCTCACCGGTGGTACCCGGATGTTCCGCAAGGCAGTGAACCCAGCCCCGAGTTCTCGGTCCTGGTCATGCTCGCTGCTAGCCGCACTACTGATACCACTGTTGTTCGACATGCCGCCGCTGCTGTTTGTCCTCGAGTGGGCCAGACCTCGTGGGCTGATACTTCCACTCAGGCTTCCGCTGTCTCGCCGTGATGGCTGAGACAATGAGTTCTGCCGAATAGGCTGGGGCATCAGCTCGGAGCTGGGGCTTACGGCTTGGATGCGTAGTTGCGACATGCCAAAGTCCCATCCTCCATACTGATGGACGCAGTGTGGTTCGGTGATGTCGCAGTATTTCGTCAGAATCTGGTAGATTTGCGTCTGCACCTCGGACGCGGGGGGACGGTCGTTGGGGTTCGCGGACAGCATGCGTGCGACGATGTGCATCAACGGGACGATACCCTTGAACACGGCTCCGCCTTCGGACTCGGACGTTTTCTTTGACGCTTCCTTCGCTAGCGTGGACATCCAGGACTCGACTTGGCCCAAGTTTTTGTGGAATGAAGAGTCTAGTACCGCGCCTCCTCGGCCAGGAGACTTGTGCTTTGCGGCACGGTGGGCTGCGAAGCTCTTTGTCGTCTTCTTGACGAGGAAACTCATGAGATCGAGAATAACGCATCCGAGAGAGAAAATATCAGCAGCCTGCGGGCTAAGCTGCGGGTTTGGCATGCTCAGCATTGCGTTCGGACTGCTGGGGTTGTCGCTCCTGGGAATAGAGAAGTTGGTGTGCGTTTCTGGAGACGTCGACATGGCCAAAGTCGCTTTTCGACCCATCGGACTGGTCGGGCCGCCGCTTGGACGAAACCACTGTTCTGGCGCGGCATAGTCATATGACTCTCGGTCGAATGAGTTCTTGTCGGAATACCCTGCAAGAATCGCGGGGTTTAGTCTCGTGAAATCAGAGTAGAAGATGTGAAGCTGGTTGGTAAAGAGTATGGTCGAAGGCTTGATGTTTCCGTGGGAGAGCCTTCGGCTGTGGAGGTAAGCAAGAGTGTCGGCGAGACACAGGATCCAGTTCATCACCATCCGCCTCCGTTCTTTCTTGGGAAAGTTCTTGAAATTGGATGGGGTGTTGCCGAGAAAGGACTTCAAGTTAGAGTCCGTGGCAGGCGTGAAGAGAGCGTATGCAGCTCCGTGCTGGGTATAAGAAGCATAATAAGAGACCAAGTGGTCATTCTGGATCCCTCTAATGCTGTTGATAATTTCGATAAACTCTCCTCGACTTAGTTGGCTCGGGCCGTTCCCAATAGGGATCCGGCGCCGGTAAAAGACCAGCCCTGGACAGTTCGGCAGGAGTACCTTCTCGACGGCGGTGTTCCCGGCCGTCCGGCGCTCGATGACATCAAGGGGCACGATTTCGTAGTCGTTGAAGACGATATGGTCCCCCCGTTGGAAGGGCTTCAGCAGGTAATTGAACTGGCGGATGAAGAACTTGCGCTCGACTTTGTCGTCCTTGGTGGCTGTTAACCTCAGGCGCTCGATATGCTCGATAGAAACGGGGAGATCATGGTCGTCCCACGAGTCGTCAATGATGCCGAATATTTGGTCCGGGATCTTGAGGTCGACGAGAATCAAGAAGACGCGCTTGGCCTTGGAGTCGATCCAGTCCCAGTAAGTGCCGTCAGTCAGCCCCCCGCCGAAGGCCAGAGGTCGGTCTAAACGCTCTATTTCGTCAGGCAAAAGGTACTGGCAGACGAACTGCCGAGTGACGGTAGCGTCAATCCTCGCGGTGTCCCACCATTGACCCATGATGGATGTTCAACAGTCAGTAGTGGTGATAGTGGTAGGTGGGAGGTAGGTGGTAGACGGTGATCAGCCTCGTCGGACGCGGGGCCGGGCGTGTGTGGCCGTCTCGTCTCGATGGAACGGAACCTTCGCCTTGGGTCGCTTCGTCGTTCCTTGCCCCTGGAGATGCTCTGACGTGCCTGCCGCCTAGGACGCTGACGACGCAGGCTGCATAACCGCGTGCGTGCCGTGCTCTTAAGCCCGAATCAGCTTCACACTCGGGAGCTGGACTGGGCAGGGCGGCGCAGGTTGAGAAGCTGGCTGGGCAGGGCTTCGCAGCAACTTCAATGAAAATTTGGAGGTGTGTGAGGTTTATGTTTGAGACGAAGCAGATCAGGTCGGTACGGGAACGGGATTAATTTCATGGGGTCTGAGGTGCGTCGGGTCGGTTTGTCAGGACGGTTCCATGTCGAGAGTCCGTCCGTCCACTTGGTGGTTCGGTAGGCCTCAGTTAAAGGTAAATGGGAGGAGACAGCACTAAGCAGCTTACCCTTACCTCACTTACCTAAGGCAAGGCCAAGGCAAGCCGCATCTTGTCTTGACTGACGGATGGACGGGCGACGTAACGTACCTACATCCAGGTCCTGTGGTAGGTACACACGGCTCCGGGTACTTCCTGCGCAGTACCTCACCAACAGCAACCTCATCCAGAGCGCCAAAACGATCCACCACTTTGCCCACCAGGACCCTGCCTGCCCGTCTCCAGCAACACGGCACCCGCCTGCACTTGCCCACCCGCCCTCATGTCCCTCTCCGCAGTCCACTGCACATTCGTACACAGAGACAGTCCATTGGCAGTCGGTGCCTTAGCATGGGGCGTTTTTTCGGCTTTTGCCTTTGGGCACGCAGCGGGCGGCACAGCGGAGGACAAGGTTAGCAGTGGTAGCAGAGGCAGAAAGCGCTACCCCGACATGGTTCAACGTAGCGAGACAGCCCCGGCTTGCGGGCGCAAACTCAGGTGCATGAGCCTTCAGTCTCATTCTCGCGTGCCTCTTTGCGTCTCTGCGGGCACTTGCAACCGTACCGTGTACATGACCCACTGCGGCCAACATGTACCTACTGTACCTGTCCTTGCCTTGTATCTGTGGTGTTGCTCGCCCTGTCCTTCGAGAACTCCAACCACGCTCTGTCTCTGTGTGCCGACATCCATCTTCCAGTCTTCAGCTCCAACAATGATAGCCTTCCCACGTTCCCACGCCTCCCAGGTCCTCACGGGGGGGCTTCGTATCAGACCAAGAGACCTGCAGTCGTCTAGGAGATAGCCCTGATACAGATAGCGTTCTGATGTTGGTTAGTGTTAGCTCCCTGAAGCTAAAGCCGTGTCAGCATTCGTCAGATCGATCTGGTAGATGGATAGCTTCAAGACCTGATTGTGTCTGGCGGCTTATCGCCGCCTTTAGGACTTGTCTAGGTAACTCTAACCCCCTCAGCTCGCATGAATCAGTCCGTGGTCCATTGGCTCGATAGGGCGAAAGATAAGAACCTGTAGAGTCTGAGTGGCTGTTGTCAACGCCTTGGTGTCATTCCTGCAAGAAACGCCACTCATTTTTGGCAGCACACCAGGCTCTTTGCTCGCGGGATGTCACACCGCACGCACCGTCCACTACCGCCTGAAAGTAGCGTAGACTGGGGCTGCAGGGCGAGGATCGCCCGTCGGCTGGGGTACACAGCATGCTGAGTGTGGAAAATAATCCCCTATTCCGTGTCTGGTGGGAGACAGCCAGGAAGGCAGCTTGGCATGCGTTGAAGCTGCGAAGGCTGTAGACTGCACGCGACACCAGTGACGCTCCCAATCCCGCGCAGCCAACCCTCTGCCTGACTCTCGTACGCTGTGCCAGAGATGCTTGAGGACCCCTCCATCAGGGGAAGATCAACGTCATGTCCAGCCTATGGCGTGGGCTGGTGGGGTACTCCCAATGCGAATTGCGGCTGCTAGGGGTCTTGAGAGGATTTACCCCCACCCGATATTGCTTCCCGAGTCGTACAGACGTTGTGGTGATCAGGTCGTTGAACAAAAGTGCTTTTTGTCGACCTCCGGAAGCGCCGTGCAATGAGAGGAAGCAGGCAAGAGCAGAATGAGACGAGCAGCGACACGAGAATGACCTTTCTCAGCGGGGAACTGCGATCGTAGGGTCCGCAAACAGGCTTTCTTGACAGCCAACAGACAAATCGGAGGGCCGCACGGCGCAGACGAGCGGGCGTTTGAGAGGTCTGGCCGCCGGGAGGGCGGCGGTGGGAACCGGCAGGCTGGTCGCCGTCGCCAGGATTCCCAAATCACACCCAACGTTGCACATTCTTCTTGTTGTCTTGCTCCCGTGGTAAATTTAGGCTCTCCGGCTTCGTACGTGTAGAGAGACATTCGATCCGGTGACCATCGACAAAAGGTGGTCGCCGACTTGGGGAAGGCGTCCTGGAGTAGTCCGAGTCGAATACTTGTGCTTGCCGTTCTTGGGCGCTGTCTTGGCTAAACTCTGCATTGGGCCATATATGATCGAAATGGACATGTCGCGAGAAGCATAAGCTGCAGGCCTACCGCGCACCTGTTGTTCGATGTCGTCGGCCGACAGACCGGCTATCGGAGTTTGGCGGGCAACAGGCTGCAGTTCGAGTGGGCGATGGCCTGATTTATCAGCAAGTCATCGACGCGATAGATAATTCAGAATAGTTTCGGCGGTCTTGATTGGGCCTCTGGCAGCGGAGGAAAGTTGTCTGAATCGAAGATGGAGTTCCAAGGTTGCGAAGGATCAAGATGCAGACCGCAGGACGAGGGCGGCACGGCGGCCAACAGGTCCCCTGTTCCAACTCAGGTGAAGGGTCGCCTCTGAAAGTCAAAGAGGTCTGCACGTTGAGTGCGACTGCGGCAGCGGGCAGGCATGGTCCAGTGGGGTCGAGCCAGCTCCACTGGATGGTCGTCCAAGCACCAACTGCACGGAGCAAGTACAGGTACCTTCATCTAGATGATTCTTCTTGCCCGCCGAGTACCTTATTTCCTGGAGCGCATCAACAACTCAGAAGGCAGTCGGTCACGTAAGGTAGCTTGTTTCTTTCTCAGCACACCCTCAATCTCTGCCTCTTGTTATGGCCCATGCTGCTCCCAACTTATCCCATCTTTTCCATCAATCTAGAATGACATCAACCGAGGGCTTATCTGATGAGCTTGTGTGCCTTTTCGAGATCGATCCGAGACACGCCTTTTCTGTCCTCTTCCGAGCATTCCAGAAGTCACCCCGGGGACGATCCCCCAGACTGCTCGACACATGCCGCATCTACTGACAGATCACAAAGAAGGGCTTCATTCCACGAAGCTGTCCTCGACGTGTGGGTTCAGGCCGCACAGCCAATGCTTACACCCTGGCAAGCCCGAGGCGACATTCAATTTCGCAAGCTCAGGGCGAGAAAAGGTCTCGCCCGCAGTAGCTCCCTGCCTCGTCTTGCTCTGACATCTGACAGAGTTACAACTCGCAACGAGTAAATGTAGCCCAAGAGTCTAACGGGACAAGCTACAGCCCGCCATTCCTTGCCCAACAAGCTTATAGGACGATCGGCTGGCTGAATCGGGACCCGGCCTTCTGCGAACGCCGCTGCGGTTTCCAGATTCAGCGAACCTTTCGGCAAGTCATACCGGTCAACTGACATCGTGAGCCAAACCGTTGACAACGTCCGGATGAAGTCATTCAAGCTCGCAGAAGACCCTGGTTGAGTATGCAATGGCACAAGGCCGGAGCCAAGGCGCGTTAAGTCATCTTGGCCATTGGCACGGGAAGCCACGGGAGACATTTCGAACCCCTTGTTCGTCTCATTGGCCGAAGCGTTGTCTTGGAAGGCGCAAAACGGGCGTTGAGGGCGCTCGACGCAGCAAGTGTCACCAGATGCCGTTCAAGCCGTTGGCGACGCCGCAAGCCCATGACACTATTGCTGGGACCACGATCTTCAATTGACCTGCAAAGCAACATTGTTGTGTCGTTCAAGAGTTACACAGATAGTTTCAAGGTTTCAATGCTGTCGTGCCACTAATCTCACCGCTCATTGGCTCTTTGGCTAGTCAGCCAAATGCCCTTCGGTCTACGAAAAGAGCCAAGCGCGTGACAATGCCTCTGGCTGGCAAGGTCATACTCCCCTGAGCGCCCGCAGGAATTATTCGCTTGCTTTCACTCCGGGGCCTCCCTTCTGCCCAGATGCTTTTCCGCTACAATCCTTTGTTGCTATATCAGACATTCTCCGCCTGAGACCGGTACTTGGCTTCCGAGTCACTCTTAAGAAGGATCTGAATTCATCCGCCCCAAGTTGTATTCAACAGCCACAACTCAGCCCTACGACAGCCAACATCTGCCACTCATACAGCTGGGCTCAAGTTGACACGGGCATCAAGTTCAAAAAGTCGATACGAGAGCCAAATTATTGTCGAATCCTGCCTCGGAAAGTCTGATCTAGACCTGCGGGCTGCCATGACTGGAAGAACGAGCCGCGACCTGAGACTGCCGAAACAGTCGGGAGAACTGGAGTTTGGACGAGAGACGCCTTGACGGAGGTTGTTGTCGCGAGCCGCATTACATAAGCGCAATATCAATAGCAGTCTTGGGCGCTGATTGACGATCCTGATTGCCCTGAGTAATCAAGGTGAGAGAAACCTGGAAGGTGTTGACGTCTCATGAAATGATCAGTGCTTTACAGTGGAGGGCGGTGAACAGCTGCCGAGTTTCGGAATCAGAGAGACTTGAAGCTGACTGGTCGCGGGCCTTGATCAGATACAGGAGTACTTCCCATCCACTGCAGATATAGTGACGGACCGTGTACCCGACAAACAGGCAGAATGCATGGGCCTGGTGACCAGTGCCCCGCAGGCCCCAGCTCCCGGCTCTCAGGGAGTAACGTGGCCAGCATCCCGTCATTGTTTAACTGTGAACTGCCTCCCTTCTGACGACGACCGACGGTGCCGAAACCATCTCCCCAGCATGGCCTTTTGAAAGGCCGCCTTTTCCATTCTCTCGAACGCGCCAGGTCGATTTTTAAAACCCGTTTTTTCCCTTCCAGCAGCCACCCAACCTCCCCGGCTGCGTCTACAATAACAACAACATGCCCGATTCAATGGAGGCTCCGCTCATGGACGGTCGTCCAGACCGCGACGACGAGCTGGACTATCGCGAGGACGAAGAGGCGGACGTGCTTCCCGAGTCGTTCAAGAACACTCAGTCGAGACCGAGTCTCTTTGTTTGGCTACTCACGTTTGCTGCCGGCATCAGCGGCCTGTTGTTTGGATGTACGTTTGGCCCGTGCTGAAAGACTGGAAGCAAATCAATACTGACCCGGTTGAGCGCAGACGATACCGGCGTGATTTCAGCGACGCTTGTTTCCATCGATACCTCACTTTCGAATCGAATCTTGACATCATTCGACAAGTCCATCATTACCTCCAGCACTGCCTTGTTTGCCTTGCTCGTCTCCCCCTTTTCGTCCGTGGTCGCTGATGCGCTTGGCCGCAAGCGCGTGATACTCGTGGCTGATATCCTGTTCATCGTGGGCGCTTTGTTGCAAGCATGGAGTGGCACGGTGACAACCATGGTCTTGGGCCGATCCATAGTCGGCGCGGCAGTTGGTGCCGCGAGCTTCGTGGTCCCCTTGTACATCGCCGAACTTGCCCCTGCCAGCCACCGCGGCCGGCTCGTGACTATGAATGTTTTGTTCATCACACTGGGCCAAGTGGTCGCGTACATCATCGGATGGGCCTTTGCGGTTTATGGCGACAAGTCGACTGGATGGCGATGGATGGTGGGCCTGGGTGCTCTGCCCGCGGGCCTGCAATGCGCTATCCTGGTGTTCATGCCAGAATCGCCCAGGTGGCTTGTCATGGTAGGCAGGTCGCTGATGGCGAAGAAGGTTGTTGAGAAGGTTCTCGGCTCAACCGTAGGCGGCATGAGAGCTGCCGAATCTGTGGTCAAGGAGATCGAAATCGAAATCCGAGACGAGCGAGAGGTCATGAGACGGGAGGGAACGCCTCGCCTGGAATGGTGGGGCGGCTGGAAAGAGCTCTTTGCAGTCCCAAGAAACAAACGCGCGCTGGTCATCACATGCCTGCTTCAGGGCCTCCAACAGCTGTGCGGCTTCAACTCGCTCATGTACTTCTCAGCTACCATCTTCACGATGGTTGGCTTTGGAACACCAACGCTTACATCCCTCAGCGTCGCCGTCACCAACTTCTTGTTCACGGTTGCGGCGCTGTGTCTTATCGATCGCATCGGCAGGCGCAAGATTCTGCTCTACTCCCTGCCATTCATGATTGCCGGTCTGATGCTATCGGCATACGGCTTCTCGTTCGTTGACCTCCGGACCGAGACGGTAGCAGTCACCGAAGCCGGCTCGGCGGCTGGAGCGGGCGGAGACCGCGGAGCCGCGGTGCTGATTCTAATCAGCATCATGGTGTACGTCGCGTCGTACGCGCTCGGACTGGGCAACGTGCCGTGGATGCAGAGTGAGCTGTTCCCGCTGGCCGTGAGATCCATCGGCAGCGGCGTGTCGACAGCGACGAACTGGGGCGCCAACTTTATCGTTGGGCTGACCTTCTTGCCACTGATGGACGCGCTGAGTCCGTCATGGACGTTTGTGCTGTACGCCCTGGTGTGCATGGTGGGATACGGGCTGATCTGGCGGATCTATCCCGAGACATCGGGACTGAGCCTGGAAGAGGCGACGAATCTGCTCGAGAACGGCTGGGGGGTCCGACGATAGCCTCGATCTGCCGTGGACCTGCATTTGCATCGGGGACCCTTGCATTTGAGGGACCCTCTGGATGGACTTTTTTTCACACTAGACTCTTTAGCGATACATCGCGCAAAATCTACACACTATTGTATATGTTTAAAGAAACGTCCTGATATTTCCATGTCTCAATTGCCGCGGGAAAGCGTCGCAGGGCGCGTTCGAGATTTTTCTAGAAATTTGAGCATGGTGGAGACATACCACATCCAACCCATGCAGCTCGGAATTTTCTCACCCCTGGCTGACGGCGGGTTTAGACGAAGATTCCATCTTCCGCTCCGGGGTGGCCATCGGGAGCCCAGCGGATAGCGGTAAGAAGCGGCATTGGGCTGGGCGTTGGGCCTCGGTGGCAGGGTCGGAAAGAGCCCCGGCGCTGTCAGCAAGGTGGACGCTTGCGATGGAGGGCGGATCCACGATCATCGTCCTTTTTGTATTGTTCAATTTCACTAGCAGAGAACAATCGTATCAGGTATCATTGTCGAATCCTCCTGAGGCCTATATCATTTTGAATGCAGGTAGACAGACGGTAGGCGGCTAGATCTGCGTGAACGGTGAAGCTGCACAACTCGCAGATCGCACAGCGCGCGGCTTGACCCGATCCAGCGGGATCCTTTCCCCCCCCCTAGTTCCATCTTTCGGCGGCGCTGTAAACACGCGAGCCGAGGCCGAGAGTGTACAGGATGGAACTCGCGGGGATGCCGTGGCGCGGCGCCCACGTTTTAGTCAGTGCAGCAGCTTGTGTGTCGATTGTCAAGCAAGGTGACGTTTAAGGCTGATGACTAAAAGGGACCTAAGTGTCAGTCGATTGCATCTTGGCTGTGTGTGTGTGTGTGTGTGTGTTGGGTGCATCGTTCCGAAAGGCGAGCGCGCGGGGCCGAAGTTTGAGGGAGGCGGTCCAGAACCTCGCCCCATCTGTGGAAATTTTTTACTCGTTCCTTTTTTCCCCCTTCCCGTCCGCGTCCTAACTCCAAAGTCCAGCTGCTGCAGCGGTGACATGACATCACCCGGCTTTAGCCCGCCCCATCGTCTAGCCTCGGATCCGACCGGTAGTGTGGCAGCAAATTGATTGGTTTCCGGGGGTTTAAGGAAACGGAAGAAACAGCAGATCTGGCAGCAATCTTTTTGATTTTCTGCTTGACTCGACTCTTGTTTGCAAGATTGCTGGTGGTTGCTCGAGCCTTTCCGAGGACTGTGGAATGTTCCGCAGAAACTCTGTTCAACTCTAGGCTCTAATTTATTCCCGTGAGCCATTGCCGAAGCGATTGCCTTCCCGTTGGGATGATGGAAGTCTAAAACATGGGAACCCAAAGTTTGTCAACGCAACAGCCATCCCAATTGGTAATATTTGATGAACCCGTGGGCAAGTCTTGGGACGTCTGTAACAACACCGCCCCAATGGCCTACGTATATCTAAGCAAAAGTGCGGTAGTAGACCGAATTCCTTTCCCATGCTAGGGTGCTCTTCCCTACCACCAGCACCCTAGGTATTTACGATGTAGCATTTGTACTGGCCATTGCCGGGTGCCGCCTCCGGCCTCGTCCGGGCCCACCCACTTTCCCAAGTGTAGGTCTCTTTCAGCAATTTTTCGTGCCGAGCTGCTTGCCGACTACCTGAAGCTGAGAGTAAGGAAAGAAAAAAAGAGGGAACCGGCATGACTTGGGAGCCCAAGTGGGACTCCGTGACCCATTCCTTCCCTCCTCCCCTGGCTTGGTAACCGGGGAGATTTGCACTGCGAGTTCCCAATCAGCTGAGAGGAGAGTCATTCCTCGTTGCCATATTCGATTTTTTCCTTCTCTCCTGCGTCCGACTAACTCCTGGCCCTCGGCCTTTTCGCACTTTTCATTGTATCCATAGCCCATACACCACTTGCAACCTGGTACAACTAGGTGACTTGGCTTACCTATTCTCGTCTACTTACAAACCGGAACCCACCACTCGCTCACTAATAATACCCAACTCCTTTTCATCTGTACTTTTCACGCCCTTCGTGAATCAGATAGAATCGAAAACACGTCCCTCTTTAAGACGAAAAGCCGCACCATCACTCTCTTCTGGATCGCGCATTCATCATCTCCAGTTTATTACCCCTCCTCCAGAGTCCGCGCGCGCTCTCCTCTCGTCGCCACCGATCTAGAACCCCCCAAATCTGACCGGCGCCCACACTACTCTGACAGCTTCAGATCGGATCCCATTACTTTACTCTGACGTAGCTGGTCACCAACACGCGCCGCCTGCATTATAGCTCCGAGCTACCACTCAGCAACAGTACAACACAGCTCTGCATTGCATTGGGTTTCTTTGAAATCAATTGGATTATCCGCGGCTCCTCGGTATCTGCCAGTATTTAGCTACAAGCTCTAGCACAAGCAGTATACCCCCCAACGATCTGTGCTTCTCTCACTCAGCAACACCACAAACTCTCGAAACACCATCGGCCTCGTCCAACATGGCAATGGACGAAGTCGACCGCGAGATCGCGGCAGCCGAGCGCGCCGCCTCCCCCGAACGCTACCACGGCCGTGAGAGCCACGAGATCGAGCGCGTCCTCTCCGCATCCTCTTCATCCTCCGCGTCCTCCGTCTCCACCGGCCGCCGCCCGTTCTCTCGCACCGGCACCGGCATCAGCCGCGTCTCGACTCAGAATGACCTCGAAAGACACCCCACGGCCCTGAGCCGCATCGCGACGGCCCGCAGCCAGCACTCTAACACCGTCGGCCGCAGCATCAAGAGCAAGCAGTCCAACAGGCCGCTCCCGCAAATGGGCGCCGGCAAGCCGTACCCGCCGCCGTTGCCCGAACAGGAGGAGTACGTTGTGGAATTCGACGGGCCCAACGACCCCCTGCACGCGCAGAACTGGCCGTTGAAGAAGAAGTAAGTCGATGACATCCTGTGCGACCTGCGCGCACGCGCTCCACCTCAGGGCCGTCACTAACATGTCTTGGCGTGCAGGTTACTTACAGCCGCAATGCTTGGCTTCACCACGATGACAGCCGCATTCTGCAGCAGTATCTTCTCCGCGGCAACCCAGGTTATTGCGATTGAGTATGGCGTGTCGACAACTGTCGGCACGCTTGGTGTGTCCTTCTACGTGTTGGGCTTCGCCTTTGGACCCAGTTTGTGGGCGCCGCTTTCCGAGCTGAAGGGCAGAAGACTGCCCCTAGTCCTCGCCATGTTTGGCTTCTCCGTATTCTCCATTGCTACTGCTACCGCCAAGGATCTTCAGACTATTCTCATCACTCGATTCTTCGCTGGATTCTTCGGCGCCTGTCCGCTGGCTGTCGTCGCCGCTGTGTTCTCAGACATGTTCGACAACCGCAGCCGTGGTAGCGCTATTACTGTCTTCTCAATGGCCGTCTTCACCGGTCCGCTGCTGGCTCCTTTCATTGGTGGCTACATTGTCGAGTCTCACCTTGGCTGGCGCTGGACTGAGTACCTTGCGGCTATCATGGGCTTCTTCGCCTTCGGTCTGGATTTGCTCTTCCTCGAGGAGACATACCCGCCTGTTATCCTGGTCAGCAAAGCTTCGGAGCTGCGCCGTCGCACCCGCAACTGGGGCATTCACGCCAAGCAGGAGGAAATCGAGGTCGACTTCAAGGAATTGGTCAACAAGAACTTCTCTCGTCCCATGCGCCTCCTCTTCGGAGAGCCCATCGTCACCGCCTTGTCTGTGTACATGGCCTTCATCTACGGACTTCTGTATCTCTTCCTGACGGCATACCCCTTCGTCTTCCGCGGCATTCACGGCTTCAACGCTGGCCAGTCCGGCCTGACCTTTTTCGGCATGATTACCGGCCAGCTCATTGCTGGCGTTACTGTCCTTCTTCAGCAACCCTGGTATCTTCGCAAGCTCAAGGCCAACAACGGCGTTCCCATTCCCGAGTGGCGTCTGCCCAGCGTCATCGCTGGCGGCATCTTCTTCTCAGCCGGTATCTTCTGGTTCGGATGGTCCGGCTACCGCGCAGACATCCACTGGATCGTCCCCACCCTTAGCGGTCTCTTCACCGGCTTCGGCCTCATGTCGATCTTCCTCCAGGCCCTCAACTACCTGGTCGATGCCTATCTCATGTTCGCTGCCTCTGCCATTGCTGGAAACACCTTCCTCCGTTCCCTCTGCGGCGCCGGCTTCCCCTTGTTTGCGAGCTATATGTTCAACGGCATGGGAATTGAATACGCTTCGACCCTCTTGGGTTGTGTCGCTGTCGTCCTTGCTCCTATCCCAGTGATCTTCTACATCTGGGGACACAAGATCCGCGCCAAGAGCGCGTACGCCCCGACCTTTGCGGCGCCTGCCGACGAGCCCGAGGAGTCCGTCGAGGACCTCACCAACGGCCACGTCGGCCACGAGAACGAGAAGCCGCCTTCCGTCAACGGGCCCTCGAGCATCCCGAGGACCAGCGGCAACAAGGCCGAGAACGCCGTCTAAACCGTCCGCCTCCAAAGTATGTGATGGTGTATATATGTACGCCTTTTATATGTGACCTCGATTTCCCAGCGAGGTTTTTCTGGCTTTTGTCTTTTCGCATCAAGATACCACCGGCCAGGAAAGTAGGGAAAGGGAAGGGAGGGGACTCCAAAAAAGTTGTTTCAGCGTCATGTTGATTTGGGAAAGGTTTACGACAGCATCGTTCATCTGATGATACCATCTTGCCTTTGCCTTTTTATTACCATTTACCCATATAATAATCCTAGTTACACTCGAATGGGAATAGAGAAATTGAGAATGAGAACACAAACGCCCTCTTTTGCTGTCTTAAAGTGACGGTTCATGTATACTCCATATGACCATTGTCGTCAATATTACCTCCATCGTTAATATTCCTTCTGCTATCGTCTTCCACGCCATCGTTCTCTCTACTGCTATCGTCTTTAATTGAAGTTATCAAGTACACAGGAAATGTAGCCGGTCTCATAAGAGAGGCTCAATTAAGATAACCGAAAGGTTCAGGCTAATCGGCCGATCATCCGTGAA